TGGGGGGGGGAGAGAAAGCAAGACGATGCCCTCTGTACGCTTTCGAAAAAATAACAAAAATGATGAAATTGCCATCAAGGTCATCATTTTTAGGTTTTCACCTTGTACTCTCTGAAGGGGGGGGGGATCTGGAAAAAGTCTGCTCTTTGTAGACTTGTGAAAGTTGTGATAAAAATGGATGGCCCCTAAGGACAAATTAGGCATATCTGTAACTGTCAACACATAAATACACATACTCATACACAAAGATTCATTTCTGAAAACCAACAACATTCTTCATGTACACGACTGATTAAGGCCAATTTTAACCCATTTAATAACCATAATTCTATAAAAGTTTCTAACAAATTAATGTCTTTTAATCTGATAAAGATAAAAAAAATTCTTCATGTTTCAGTTGGCTCCCTTTCACAGGGGTCCCAACACACTAAGGAAAATGGTAAGCAGATGTCATCTTCAATGATTGTTAAAACCCCCATCACCCAAGGATATGTAAACTGTATAGCATGTATTCTCTCTCAATCTCTATCTCCCTGAAGAAGCACACGAAGAACACTTCCCAAGTTTCAAGTAACAACAAAGACACAACAGCAATGACAGCAGCAATAATTACATATTTAGCTCCAGCAGTAACATATAGGTGGTAGTAGCACGAGCTAAAAGCAAAAAAAATACAAACAAGAACAGTGAAATCACAACAATTAGTGCTTCAAGTCCAACAACATCCAGATCAGAAAAATACCTCCTCTCTTTGAGTCTGTAAAACGTTTGCGACCCCGGATGGGTGAATCAAATTCATCGTTCTCGTGTCCAGCGTTGGCAATGTTGTTTATGATGTTATAACCAGTCACTGCAGAATGAAGGAAATACATGGACATGCAGAGAATCACCATTCCAATATGTTATAAGGGGCAGAGTTTAACTGTCCATAAAAAAGTGTTGCAGTAAATGGGAAGAATCTCAATTCATGCAATGCATTTAACAATTAAAACCATGGATAACTGGTACAACATATTATAAATATTTAGTATAAATGGCTGTGATGCATGTTAGTCAAGAGAAAACTACTTGAAAGAAAAATGGGGGATGGGGATTACTTGGTTATACATGTGCCTTTAATGATAAAGTCCTTCGGGTAATTAGTGTTGTTTTTTTTTTACGTCTACGTTCAAAAACTTGTCACAGTCAGCATTTTAATCTTGGTCAAGCTGACTACACCTACCTGTGACAACTTATAATAATCTCCCAACAGAGCTTAAACCCAACACTTTTAAAAGTGTGCTGTGCTTTTCTATAACACACCATGATGGTAAAATTGCAGAAGGCATATGATGTGTTTTTTGCCTCTAACAGACAGATCCTGCAATAGCCAAATACTTAATCAACTTTAAGTGTCAGAAATGAAAGTGAAGGTCATTTTCAAATTTCATGCCATGATTCAGTGAAATGGCTTGGTTTCTTTTCTATTTTTTCAGCTACGGGTATTAAGTTGTTAGTTTTGTATATTTGTTAGTCTGGGGTGGGTTCCTCTAATACCTATTCTGTTTCTACCACGGCCATATTTCCAGAATTTCTATAACTGTGCTATCAATTGCAAACACATTGAGACATCTTTGCAAAACAAAAAAATTTCAAAAATAAATAAATAAGTAAACAAATGACTATAGGAGTGCAGACAAAAGACACTGATACATATTAAAATTGAACAACACTCCTGTACAATGGCAACTTTTTAGCAAATCGGAGTTAACAGTCCATAGATTAGAAACTACTAAAACAGACAAATATACAAACTTTTCAATAATCTCAGTTAAAAAAAGCCTAGCTTGGAAAGGAGCAGGGGAAGGGGGGGGGAGGGGGGGGGCAAACCTACCATGCTGGGGTCCCTTGACCCTTACAGGGGCCTCTACGGGAGGAGGGGCAGTTTTGGATGCCTCCTCAGCCTCCTCATCACTGTCTCCTTCTGGAACAACAACAACAACAACATAGAGCCTAATACACAAGGAAGGCAACAGGCACAGCAAAAATTTAAGGAAGAATCGAACAGTATGGTAATAACTCACTAATTTTTTAGACCTTACTAACCCCAATATTTTACTTTTTCAAAGGAGGTCATTTTCAGTTGGTTACAAAAATACAGTTTTTTACAAAAGCTAAACCCACCTGTCTAAATTTTCTTTTTTAAATAGTAAATTAAGAAATGTGTTTATAAATGAAAAATGATCATTAAAATTTATATTTATTCAGTGAGTAATTACCTTGAGTTACGCATAATGCAAGGGAAAAGCATACATAAAAATGCATATGTTCTGACTCAATGAAGCTATAAATTATCACAAAGAAAAAAAGTAAAACTGATTGTAAAACAAAACATTGTACAGAACTACTACTGCAAAAACACAGATTATGGTCTAAGGGAACAGTTTTGGGAGGCAAGCTGAAAAAAAGAAACTGGGCCTCATTTAAATGTCACCAAGAACCACTGTGTTAGAAACTGTTCCAGGAAAGTGACTGATGCATACTTATCTTTTATTGCTTTGCAGGAAAATAAGCAGTTTTGAAAGAACTACTGAGAGGCATGAGACACATTTGCACATTCACTGTCAAGTGCTGGGACAAGACCTTCACTCAACTCAATGTTGAACTTCACAACATACAGTAACAAAGTGTTCAACAGACATATAATAACTTGATCACAAAATTTCAGGTTTAAGAAGACAAAAAATTTTTTCACATACAGCAGAGACTATACTGCTGACAACAACAGCAACTCCTAAACCAAAAGATAAAAAACAACTGTCAGCAATTAATCTATGTGACATAAATTTTCTTTAAAAATCTGCAGATGAAACCTGTGAAATTTTCTACGATCAAATGACAGTATGTAATCTTAGTTTTAAGACATTTTAAGACATTCTGATTCAGCAGGCAAATTTTCATGGTATGAATTATTTTATACCTTGAAAATTATGATGTTAAGAAGCATAAAGAACAAAATCTTTTATTTCAGTCCACTTACATTTAGATTAATAATAACACACACACACACCTCGAGGAACTCTTCCATCAGTCAATAACATAATCCTCAGTCAAAAAGAAACAGAGAATAAAAAACTCGTAATAATTTTATCACATCACATGTTCAAGGGAAGTTTCTGTGCAGGCACCCTTCACATATTCTATTAATCCACTCTCCTTTTTTCCCCATTTACTGCCTTATCACTTCCAGCAGTGAAGCAGATTTGAAACCTATGAAGAAATTCCTATCAGCAGCTGGAAGCACCTGTATGTCTGGCAGGTGATAGGAATTGCCTGGCTGAATGGTGTCCTCTTGGACAAGAACAGAGCATGTCACAGGGAAATAAACCTACTTGAATTTACGTTTTTCAACATTTCCAAACTGTAAACTCTCTTTTACACATGCAAAAAAACAGGTATTTGTACAACCTCCCAAAGGGAGGAGAGTCCCCAACCTGAGTCAGCCATTTACAACCACGCACATTCTGACTTATTGGCCACTTCTGCAAGTCTGTTTGTTTGTGTGTGTGCACGCATGCACCTATCAACCGCAAGAGCGTATATAAGCTAGCACCAACCCTGTTGGTAAATATTTCACATCGAGGTCCTTCTCAGGGCATTTCTTTCGGGGAGATTCTATACACTGTCCATACAAAACACGAGCTCACCTTCTTTCCTCTGTGCAGTACTAGGTTTTTGGGCGTCTCCGCCAGCACCAGACTGGTTTAAAACGTCGGACTTATTGTAGTCCTTGACAACCACTGTCGCAGGCTTATCATCCGCACACTGGTTGAAGATGTCAGACCTGTTATAGTTCTTCACTTTGCGGTTTGCATGTTCTTCTGGCTCAGGATTCAGTATGTTGCTGCTACCACCCCCTGGTGGACGAAGCACTCTGAAATGATAGAAATAAAAACAAGATAAAAATCAATTGTTTTTATAATTTCACAGTTATTACTTTACTTGGGGGAGGAACCTGTCTAAACCTTTCTCTAACAACCTACAGGCATCCATCAACAATAAAGCTTAGATATAAAAATCCTCACCTCAGTAAGTTGCATAAGTTTAGGCGAGTTGAGACCAGTAATTACATAAATGTGACATAATGACAAATTTAAACATTTGGCAAGTCTGAATTGTTAACTACCACACTCTGCCTGATTCAAACTCCATCTTATTCATTTCAACAGTCTAAACACCAATCATTCACTAGGCACAAAATGAAACCTTATTTACCTTTCTTCACAAATTCATTTCAACTGGATGAAAAGGACTTCCCGATACTCTAATAACACATCAGAAGATGTTTATATTATACCAGAATCTGAGGCTGCAGGCCCCATTCCCATAAACACCTTTGGTCTATATGGATTCGCCCAACTCTGCAGAGAATCTCACTGACTTCAATCAGCTTAACTCACTAACTGACACACTTCCTCCTGGCATTTAGTAGAATACAGAATAAAGCTGGTGATTATATATGTTGGAAACAAGAGGCATGTTATTCAGTAAAGCTGAGAGTCCCTGGTGAGTTGGGTGGATCCACATGGAGCAATGGTATCTATGGGAATGGGGTCTTATTTAGTATTGATAGATGGGGTCAATCTATCCTATGAGTATTATGAATAATTTCTCCCAGTGGCTGAGCAGACCTTTGCTTCTACTAAATGTATCACATAGTTATGAATTAAAATTGATTCACTGAGAGATTAACAATGACAAGCAAAGAGGCAAATGCTCTCTGTTTAAGAGTCATTCAAACATGCAACATGGGTATGGATTTAACCACTATATTCTGTGCTGTGGGTATTAAAAAAAAAGCTACATGGGTTCTACAAGCATGTTCAGTATCTGCCAGTGAATGCACATTGTTGATTTGGCTTAAAAAAAAAAATCCCAATGATGTAATAAGTTGAATGATAAGTCACAATTGCCTTGTGCAATAACGCTAACTTCCACACATAGAATGACCTCAAATGTCCCAAATCCCCTAAAATGCAATTTAGATTTCTGGTGTGTTCTAACAATTTAGAAGTAATTTTGCTAGAATTTTAATTCAACTTTGGATACAGCAAAACTTCATCCAATATAAGCCTTGAAAAATGAAGGGATGACCTGCTAATGTATGTATCATCATTGATTTTAAACACACTGTCAAGTACATCCAAACTGTGAAATAAGAGAAGCAGCAGCTACTAGCACCTGATAAAAGCTAAGAACCCGTAACAACCAATGAATGATGCAATGTTGGGTTTTACTGATCATACTGCACATGGTACCCTCGCATTGGAACCTGAGATCATACAAAGTGCTCCAGTTCTATCAAAATCAGAGTATTTTACAAGATCTCTGCAATTGGAAGAAAAAAACTGATCCAGGTGCATATACATCAAGTCAGCTGGAGTTTTCCTGCCTGCAATCAGGATCAGCTCCCATCTCACTGACAGACAGACAAACACACTTATTGCATTATTTCACATATAGGTGCAACTGACATAACACAGCAATTAGGTTTATCACAAGAAAGTACTGCCTGTGCTTTTTCCCCAACAGACACACACTGGGAAACAGAACCGGCTCCCATCTCACAGACAGACAGACAAACACACAGTCACTTATTGCATTACTTCACATATAGGAGCAACTGATACAACACAGCAATTAGGTTCATCAGCAGAAAGTACTGTTTGCACTTGTTCATCACCAGACACACACCTGGCTTGGATTCTCTTGTATTTTTTCTTTACAAAAAAACATGCTAGTAAAGCACTCTGAGAGCACAGACCTCCACCAAGGCAGCAAGGTCTCCACCCCATGCCGTTTCACCCCTAAATTTTCATTCTACAATGATTTAGTTTTTTGATTATTGATTGATTAATGATCCGGATCACCACCAAAAACTAATCATCTGTTCCTTGGCCCACTTCTGACAGTTCCAGAAAATTTCATCAAAATCAGTCCATAACTTTTTCTGTAATGTTGCTAACACACAGACAGACAGACAAACTAACAAAACCAAAAACATAACCTCCTTGGCATAGGTAAAAACATCTTACAATATTTGTAGACAAAGTTCAAGTTTGAATTCTGGCAGATTTATGGTTTTCAACAAAGATATATTACAGCAATTTAACAGTGCAGTATGTAGACACTACATTTTCCAGGTCACAGTAGTTCCATTAAAACCAATTGTCCTGATATAACAGACATTCCTAATCCCAAGTGTCCTTCATTAGTATATTCACTTCACATTCATATCAGTCCTGGATGTCTGTGCCATCTTATGCCATGCTCACCATGCAATGACTATATTTTCTTGCTATCACCTCTATTTAATTTTTTTTTCAAATATTATAGATCTACATCAGAAGCTTGTAATTACAAACATGTGAGTTGTATACAACACAACCTACCTTACTGTCAGCTTACTGGTCTCAATATAATTTGCCATGACAACAGTGGGTTCCTTATTTTCCCCTAACAGTAACAGTGACAATGTGCAGCAGTAACAACTAAGAGTACAATACAATACAATGATTTCTTACAGATAATAACTAGAGAAAAAAGCCGAACAGCAGAAACCAAGAAAGAGTGACTGCCCTATTCCAAGTCCAAGTATCAATAGGAACGCATGGAGATATTCCTAGTGGAAAATCTTGAAATAAATCTGAACTCATGCCAGCCAAGTCTCAACTGCTGTATATACCAAGAGAGAGGAAAGGAGGTCAGGGCTGATTAATCAATTTAACATTTACAGTCATGACATCATCTGGAATGATAAAAGGCAAGTGTGTATAATCTGCAGGAATGTACAAATGAATGGCAAAACTTACGGCATCTTTGTTCAAGTGTCGCATTAATTTTGATTAGTGAATTAATTAATCTTCCATACAGAGCAAAAAAAAAAAAAAAAAAGTGGTTGTATTTGTCTTCAAACAGAAGAGGCAAAAGAGGCTATTTCTTTCTTTACATTTTGCAGAAAATTTGCACGGAAATAATGTAAGATCATATCATCTCCTTGAATTATAACTGAGATTTACTGACAATACTTATTACATTTGTCATCTAGATATTTCATTAAAAGTACATAAGATCACATAAGCATATCATACGGATGGAAGCACAGACAGAGAGGTCATCTAAGAGCATAAAAAAATGGCCGCGTAAGGTCATACAAAATGAGGGCACTAACCAGTTGCTAAGTTCTGCCATGACAGTAACACTGACACTGAAACGGCAAATCATTCAACTAGCAACATTATCTAATAGATCTACATTTAAATAATAAATTTAAATGGGAAAAATAATTATAGGAAAATAAAAACAACACATTTCACTTGCAATTACTATGCCAATATGTCAAAACAGCATATTCTTCCAGACTCCTTATGATGTAATGTTTTCTTTTTCAATTAACCTGTGCTTAACAGGAGTGTTACATGGCAATGCAGAACTATATGCTTCTGATGTACATGTCTCATTAATCCAATAAAACCATAAATAATTCATTCCCTGTTAGGTTTCATGGGTTGTGCAGTAGCAATCAATGAAATGTCCATCAAAGGAAATGGAAGAAAAGATTCACAGAGGTGCAATCCAATAAAAGTGTCTCCATAGGAAAATAACTCGTGCTTATAAAAGAGAATATGAATTCAGATAATGGACTGCATAATGAAATGTTAGGGGCTGTTAAACTCACAAATAATATGTAACTAGAGCAACATCATTTGTAATAAAACAAATCGAGCACATAGCCTAGGAAAAAAAAAAAGATATTAAAACCAAGTGACAACTAACAACAAATTTTTCACCTATAATAAAAATTCTTAGCAATCCTGAAAATAACTGGATTTACAAGGGCTATTTCAGAAATTTTATGCTCTGTACCAGAGTGGACTAGCCTGGAGCCCCGGATGTACTAGATGAATCATCCGACAAAACCAAAACTGACATCAGATAGTAAGTGATATTGCCACAGATAATAAAGAGGTATGTAGTCACACCTTCAGACAGGACATACATGTACATTGTCACAAAAGATATATTGTTCATCACATTTGGAGTGGCTTTGAGGTGCAGTCAAGTTGTTACTTGTTACATACCTGGACATCTGTATTTGTTGATATATATATGAACAATTTTTCTGCACAGTTTAAAAATGTCCCAAAGCCATCTTTTATGCCTAAATATCCTGTCTCCAAACCTATTCATATTTCCCAATTCCCACTTTAAAAATGATAGAAGTATTGGAAACCAAATTTTCTTACTGTCAGGAAGCCATGGCAGTCTAAACAAAACATGATTTGTATGGACCCAATTAATTTGAAATGGTACAAATCATTGAATCTTAGTGCATAGATGTTTTGAACAATGATTCTGGAATATGGGAAAATTGCTTTTTTCTTGAGGAAAATTAGATTTCACGCAAAAAATCCCATATAAGTTTAAAAGTAGTTGTCTGTCAGCAAATCTATCAATCTGAGTGCAAGTCATGGGCACTTTATGGGGTTGACACTCAAGATATGTACAAAGGTGAGGTCAGTGGAAGGAGATTAGAGCTATATATGTTCTAGAATAAAAACAAAATCAAGTAATTTACAACTACAAACAAGAAATGTCAAAATGCTGTTTACTCCTGCTTCCAGCATGAACCTTAATTATCTACTTTAGCCAATGGGCCACTTACACTTGTTAGGTCAGAGAACTACTGGTACGAAGATGAAGTCTGTACATAAATGGAAGCAATCTAAAACAATTTGACAATTTTTTTAAAAATCCACAAAACTACTCAGACCAGCAACTTTGAAAACCCCCTGTTCCTTTATCAGTTTTATGCATTTAATTTACACTAGATTTTCAATCTCAAAATTGCATAGTTACTGTTAATGACAGTGTTTACTACGTAAGTGTTGGCACGAACCAGGAAGGCTGTATGATATGAATGTTAGACCCAGCAATGTCCAAGGTCCAATATGATTCATACAGGTTAGTGATAGCCTGGGGACATGTATCCAGGGTAAATATATATATAAGGTGATTGTGACCTGGACAATGCAATGGCAAACGGTTTACGGTCCCCGGCAGACGTCACTTCCANTTGTTATTATTATATTGGAATGAGCGCCAGCATTCCGGGACATTACCGGAACGCGAAGAGAGAAGCGCGTTACTGGATACATTAGCACATACGTAACAATCTAGCCGTCGTATCCCAAATGCACCGGAAACTCTCTATTGTGACCTGGACAATGCAATGGCAAACGGTTTACGGTCCCCCTCAGACGGCCATTTCACTTCCACCGACAACAAACAGTAACGTAGCTGTTTGTACCGTTCCCTTAAAAATGAATTATTAACAGCACCAAAACAAAGCCTCTGAAACCGATTAATATCTGCACTATATTTCCTGATAGTAAAAAGAAGTCAAATCCCATACGATAAACAACTGACATCGAATGTTGTCATTTCATTTTCAAATCCATTTGCACCGCCCAAATGTTGAATGGACAGAGGCATTTTACCTTGATGTTGGCTTCGTGTCATTACCAAGTCCTGTGGTGTATTGAGCTGAAGTCATGATTCTTCAATATAAAATAAAAACAAATAACTATTAAGTTAAGTTAAATATAAATATGATAATTTGACAAGGAATTTTATCTTCAGGAATGTACTTCAATCTTCAATGGTCCAAAGCGCTTTTGAATATCACGGTGTTGAAACGTCATCAAATTATGTGAGAACGGGTAGTATAAAAAAAGGATCTCGGCGGTGATCTAGTGGAACAAACGTACGTGAAAGTAAAAACGTTCAAAACAATAAGTGATATTTTTCAAGAAATTTAATTTTGGATTTAAATTAGATAATGTTATTTTTAAGTAATGCTGACGTGCCAGAATTGAGATAAGTTATTCTTTGAAATACTCCCTTTGTTTTTTATTATGCCCTTACCGTAACTTTCATTTTTTGTGTAATTTTGTGTTTTAAAAATATTGCGTGCTTAAAGTTTTGCGATTTAAAATTTTGCGATAATATTAAAGATTACAAAAATATCCAGATGGTTTTTTTCCCTCTTCGATGCACTTGAACTTTTGAATGTAATGTAGCTTCTTTCGGGTTTTCCTTTCAGTTTTTCAGACATTTTCTAGTAACTTTTTATTAATTATTTTCTTATTCCTCCTAGGCTACACCGTTTTCAATCATATTAGTTTGTGTTCCATTTATTTAAATTTCCAACTTATTTTCCTTTTCATTTGGCTCTCTTTTATGATTGCAAGCATAAGACAGTTTTCTTGCTTCTCGTCACCACCTTCTGTTGACCTTTTCATTTCTATCAACTCCTTTTGCTTCAGTCTTGAATCTGTTTCTGCTATTTTTTTTTACTGCTAACAAACAACATTGACTGACTTATCATGAAAAAAAAAACTTGATAAACTTACCTGTATGTATTTACTGAAACTTTGGTTCATTACCGCCGCCCGTACTTGCATGCGATGTGAAACGGCCCTCCGGCATCTGACCTTACTAGAGTAAATGCGGATGCAATGAGCAGATGCGGGTCCCTGCGGGTTGTTCATGCGGTCTGTCGCAGTAACCATGGAAATAACATTGTCATTCATGCGGTGTTTGGTTTCTTTTAGCAATAGTACTACGCCCTTGCCCTGTAGGGTAATTATCCTGTCTTACTTTCTGCTACATATAGATCTAAAAGTAGGCCTATTTTGAATCTGTTGAAAAGATGACAACATGTGACATGTGAAACCGATTTAATCTCTCTCTCTCTCTCTCTCTCTCTCTCTCAAAGGGGAAACCCACGGAAACAGGGAAATCGTATGATAATATATAAAGATGTAACCCCTGATGCCACCGATAATTCTCGTGTTACCATTTAAATGTGCTTGGAAAATAAAACACGTTTATTATGTCGCCGATAGCGCTTTGAAATTAGGGGGGGGGGGGGAAGGCTGGTTGGTTTGGCAATATCAAAGAAAAACAAACAGAACAATAATTATGAATTATTATTGTTCTGAAAAAATGTTCAAAAGACCGAACTGAAGATTTTTTTTCGATTTCAATTTCATTTAATTTATTTCTCTTCTCTTCAAAAACAAGACTGACTGTGGTATATGGGACTCTAAAATCATTAAACGTTTGTATATGTTTCAAATAAATGTAAACGGCTTCATTTAGAAATATTGGTGCGTTTTCTATTCAATCTTGACATTATTGCATATTCACAAGTACAATTCGTTCCGTGAATGAATCTTGGTTTCATACGCATCGCAAATATTTTCTTTTATATCGATGCAAGAAGAAATGTTATTGGTGGGAATTTATGCCGCATACTGTTGCTACGGACAAACAAGTTATCCACACATATATCTTACGATTTCTTTTTATAATATATATAACTCATGACAGCGATAAGATTTTTTCTGAATACAGTAGTGTCGTGTGTCACATGTGTTTGGTGTTAATTTTGTTATTTACAATCCCTCTTCATGACGTTTACCCAATGAAAACCCATGTAAGAAAATGCTGGTCATTTACTGACAAAATGAAATTTAAGTTTTTCCAGTTATTCAACTGTGGTTATTTCGTAAAAGAATTTTACTTTATTTTTCACTATGCTGCCTGTTATGAATTATTGTCATGGTGCAGATTTTGTTATGCCAGGAATAGTACAGGAAACCCCCTGAAAAATTAGGTCAAAGGAGTTCCCTTTCACGTGACAAAGGTAGCCAATGAACAAGGGGATTTCCTCGACCTCGCTCCCGCCAAATCCTACTCAAACATGGTTATTGTTTAGAGTATGTAGCTGTATAAGCATTAAATCGGCTGTTTCCCCTTCAAATTTGATCCAGATTTTTAGTTTGGAGTGTTCACTAAAGAGGTAAGAATATTATCGGTCCATTATTAATACTTGTTACGTTTAAATTTTTGATATTTGAGATAATTTTGCGATAATATTTATGATAGTATTTGACCGCGAACAAAAACATTGATTAACTTGTCATGAAAAAACTGAGATTAACATATTTATGTTTGATTACGAGCCAGATAACTAATTTATCTACTCATCAACTAAACGGTAATACTTGCAAATTGCAGGGACTTGCTATTTTATCAAACTTCATGTTTAAAAACAGACCTATTTTGAACCTGATTCGAACGCACTTTGCAACCTATGAAACCTATGAAACAGAAATTTACAGCTACTGTTGTCTGTATTTGAAACAGCGGTAAAACAACAGTGTCTGTCATAGCTGTGAAGGCACCTCGGCTGTACATTTCTCTTATTAAATTCTTTTGATATCTGACATTCTTTCCCACTGCTTGTACACATTGATGTTTTTGCATGGCAATGAATGGTGTCAACTAGTTTATAATCATGTATATATGATAAAATCGGCGTATTGTTCATAAATAAGTTAAAACAGTCGTTGTGGGAGCGAGTTCGAATATATCCAACGGTTCTCAGGAAACAAATTATTTATTTTGGTTTTATTTAGTTTTATGGTGTTTTTTAGCACTTTGCCTACGGATCTCAGAAAATTGTGGTCACATGACCTCTCCCATTACAAACATATGTAGTTAACTTTTCTCTCTTCTAACTTTACAACCTGATTATTTGACATTATCAAAATTCATTTACATATAGACATTGCTGCTTTGTTTTTGTATGAATCATTTGATTGAACAAAGATCATATTTAACTTTAAATGGATACAGAAATGTTTCTCACGTTCTTCCTTGTTAGCTTACGTCTTGTTTGGTCTTGACGTAGTACTACAAGGACACAAGTAGAAAAAGTTGAGCATACTTTATCGTTAAAATGTAGATGTTGCAATTAACCGTGAGATGTATTGATACTCTCTTGTGGAATTTAATCAATGGTTAAGCGAAGGAGAACTACATCGGGGGAAAACGAAGGGAAAAAAGTGCTGGATGAACGGTAAATATTGTCAGCTGAAAAATACCGCCATTTTGATTTTCGGATCGAGTTTTCTCAGCAATGCAAATCGGTGAAAGTAGATTTTATGATAGTTATTTTTTCGCAGTTATAGAATGCACATACTCCTGTGGTCAAGTACAGCTTTTTGCTGTATATATTTTCTGTAGTTCGCTGAAAATTATTCAAAATGTGCCGAAAAACTTGGAGCGTCGTGAAAATCAAAATGGCGACCCATATTATTAGATAGATTCAAAGAGATTTTTGTAGAATGTTGTGTGAATAAAATCACAAAGAAATAAAATGTGTGTACAGTTTTCATTAACAAATTATATATTTGATTTACAGAATGACCGTAGGTTCAGAAAATGTTGCGCACGAAACGAGAAGCCTAAAAACGTCCAATTCCACCCAGTTTCTGGATAATGCACAGGATCCACAAAACCAAAGTCGTAGTTTGTCCGAGTCTCAGCCAGAGAATGGGATTTCAGAAGAAGCTCCTTCTCACCAAATCGCAACCAGATCAAGTACTAGGTCCTTAAAGCGAACAAAGAAAGATTTCAGCCCACCCAATTCACCTCCCAAAAAGCCAGGTATGAAAAAATTATCGGTAAACTTATTAGTAGAGTGACAGGAAGAGGTCGATCATACATGTTGAGGATGTTGCTTTCTCATTTATAAAGCTTAATGTATTATATTGTGTACAAATAGTGATCAATTTGTTTTAAGTGTCAAATTTTATTAACATCTTTCAAGATTTTGATTGTTGTTTTACATACACACATGTATATTAATATATCACCTTATTACTTATGACCATGCCACCAGTAGGTTTAACCTAATTATGTCACCAAGTACAAATTTGAGGTTGTGATATGCATTTCAATATACCTAAGCATGGTGTAGATAAAATACAGAAAGGCACCATTAAAAGAATATAATTCACAAGTTCCAAGGTCTTGTGCAGCCGTGATCCGAACTCTATTAAGTACTGTTACTATTGTGTAATTTGAATACCTATGTTTTTTTTCCAAAAGGAAAATGGAGACCTTTCAGACACCTGCCTATCTTTTCAAATATTTTTGTTTGGGCATGTGCCTTTTTTGAACTTGATATTTTTTTTTTTTTTTTTGTTAAATTAAACCATAATGGATGTTGTTAGTGGTCTGAATTTTGACAGCTGTTTTGAGTAAATGTTGTTTTTACATGTGGTTGGTTGATAATATTAATACTAGGAATTTTAAAGTAAGGCAATTTATTTATGATATTTGAGAACTGTTTGTTACTTGTTTAAATTATCCCCTTTGAGAGTAATTTGTAGGATTTGTAGTTCCAAGAAATGCATATTTTTATGATATGGGGAAAATTATTTTTTCTACTTAAGTTATCTTGAATGTCAGATACTATTTTTCAATTCAGTTTATCAGGTAAACTGTAGTCTATCAGCAGATGAGTATAAATGATACTAAGTTCTGGATACATATAAACTTTCATTACATATTTTGAAAATATGTTTATTTTTAGCTAAAGAACCAAAGACCAATACCCCAGATGCAAAAACCAGACGTCCCTGGGAAGGCTGGACTCTTGAGGATAAAGACACCTTCTTTGAAGGTTTATATGAGGTATGATGATTTTTCAAATTATACCACACGAATAACCTTTTTCCTGTAATATTGTCTTAGTTTGAAATGATATATAAAAAAAAAGAAGTGGGCCTTTCTATTAAAACCCTTTGTGTATATTTCTTATCTTAAGTACTTCCTTTAGAAAGGAGAGAAAAAGAAAAACTACCCAGACCTTAAATAAATATTTCACAGTCTAACTCATCTCAGGTATGTGTCAGAAATTTAGACTGAAACTTTTTATATGAAGGTTAATGGTGAAATATCCACTACAGCTGCAGTGCAGCTGGAATATACTTCAAACCTATACAGATGATTTAAACATAAATATTTGTTGTTTTTTGATTGGAATTTTTTACTTAAGTAATGCGATGTAAATTATATTCATTCATTTCTCTCTCCTTTTTTTTTATAATATGTGTGGGTAATAAATGACAGAATAACTTTAATGTAGTATACTTAAATAAGGTAAAGTTAATTTTACAAGAGCTTTATTATTATTAGAGTATGGCAAATATTTAGATAAATGAAAGAAATGTCCGCAAAACTTCATTTGAATTTTTATTCAGTCTTGACATTTCTTCATTATTATTTTCAGTATGGTAAAGATTTTGATGCCATCCAGAACCTGATAACCTTGAAACACAAGCGCAAGGGTGATCCTGTCCATCTCATCAAGAATAAGGAACAAGTCCGCCACTTTTACTACAGAACATGGCATAAAATTTCTAAATATGTTCACATTGGAGATGGTAAGTATATGTCAGGTTATACGAGTCTCGTGATTTTCATAAGACATTCATAATTATATTTCATATTAAAATGGTAAAGATACGTGTTCACTAAGTTATCTCTAGGTAAAGTGATATATTTAGGTATTGAAATGAAAGCAGTCTTAAAATATTTGAAAGTTGGAAGTTTCTTCTTCTCTACTCCCTCCCCTCCACATGCACTGGCATGCATGTGTGCGCACACACACACTGCATTAAAAGTTAAAAAAGTAAATAAATAGAAGGAAATCCATACTTTTCAATGGAAAATTACATTTATAGAGGAACCAAGAAATGAGATCTTTTATGAAATAATAATTTTTTATTTGCAGAAGTAAAGAAAGCAACACAAGAATTGTATGGATTAGTTAACTATGGGGAGCTTAGAAAAAGAATTGGAGGAGGTAGGCCATATATAAGATCCGTGTCTTACTTATCTGAGTTTAACAGTTAAAATCCTTAAGTTTCCTTATCCTTAAATTTTTAATGTTACGTATATCCTGAGCCTGATCTGTCTTGATTTCCCTTTTCCTCTTATTTGTTGGAAAAGAACATTCCACATCAATAAAATATAAAACGTTTTACTTAAAGGATGTCATATTGTACAACAAAAATTTAATACTTTTTAAAATCTCATTTCAGCTCTGTCTGAGAAGAATGGCCAAAAGCTGACAGAGCTTATACATAAGGGGTGAGTGGAAATAATGTACAAATAGTGCAAGTTTATTTATGCAGAAAGTTGTAAAAATTTATACAAGATTTTTGAAATTATATTTTTTTCGTCCATTGTGTATAAAAAAAATAGAACATTTATATATAAAAACAATTTTAGGCTTAGTTTTTGTTAGAGCAGGTTTTATGTTGTTGATTTTTTTTTTATTTCAGCACAACCTGTGTGAAGGTGAAGGGCAAAACTTTCAGGTAAGCCTCATGCCTGTAGTGATATTAAGTCAAGATGGCGTTTTCAGTCTAGTTGAAACAGCTTAATTAAGTACTAATATGTATTTTCACTGGAGACCTCGTGATTAGAAACTCCTACCAAAGATGGCTAGATTAATTCCTCTGTTGTCCTACCCTTGGTTTGCGCAAATAGTGGGAATTTAATAAAGCAGTAATAAGTTTAGATTATTGCAACCAAAGGGTTGAAGTGGTACAGATAAATATGTTCCAATAGAAATTATAAAAACAAGATGTACATTGAGATTGAATTAAGTTCAAAATAAACAGACCTTTAAAATTTAGGTAAAGAAAACAGATAAAAATGTAACAAAAACATCAGTCTTGAATTTGGCACATTGAAGTTGGAGTGTTAGCTTTCTGTAAGATCTGCTGGTTAAGAGGTAATTCATAATAGATAGTTATGTTGATGCATTGTGGTTTGTCTTTCAGATTGAAGACTCCAGTGTGTAAAGCTTTGAAAAAACTGAATAATGTGGAGGAAGGTAGGTATCTAAGTATTATATTGCAGGGGTGGATCCAGAGCTATTTTCTGACCGTCTTCCAAATTATCTTTGTTAATCCATCCTCTATTTTTGACTGTCTTCCGACAGAAAAAAATTAGATACACGTCAATGTAAACTTGAAAATCTGACTGTCTTCCTGAAGCCCCAGAAGACGGTCTCAATCCGCCCCTGATATTGTGTTTCTAGATAAGAGTTGCCAGGTTTGAGCTAAGTTTAAAAAAGAGTTTAGTCTTATGAAATATGCATTACATAGTAAGGAATGACAAATGGACTAAAATTATTTTTTGTTTACATTTTTATTTTTTAAGGGCCCAGGGGAAGAGGTGTAAGGGGATGGGTGGGGGGGTTCATTGTCTTCAGTAATTGTGACACTTTACTAGCCGTGATTTGAACATGTTTTCCTTCATTCAGAGACCAGAGATGAAGAGCCACCAAAAGTCCCAGAGAGGTGTGTCTTGGAGTTGCAACCAAGGAGCAATGCAGCCTATGCCCATGTCCAGTCACAAGCCCAGAACCCAAGGATAAGAATGACTGTGAAATTGGAGAGGAGACTAGGGAGTATTATTGAATACCTCCAGAAGAAGTGGAAACCACAGAGGCAGCTACTTGTATCCTTGGTAACATGTCCTGAAAAAAGTTCACTGATGGGCATTATCTTTGGAGTTTTTATTTGTGCAATTTTCAGGAATATCAATTATTAATCCAGACTACAAAGATTCTTATCCAAAAAAGTGAATGTTGCGATTAAGTTATTTCTTAATCGAATAGAACGTAATATATGCCAGCATTCTTTTAAATGTAGGAAAAGTTGGGGATTTATCAAAAATATTATAAAAAAGACAATAAAGGTATAGAATGAAACAAATCAGATATGCAATACTAAGACCATTAAAGGTAATGTATCTGTGATATTAGTGATATTCCTACCAAATTGAATTTTCCTCGAAAATAAAGCAATTTTCTGCTACCCATGAATCATTGTTTGACCTGTTTCTGCAGGTCAGTCCCTTGGACCACCCTGTTTTTCTGTTGATTTCAGAAGGATATTTCACAACATCAGGAACTTAAATTTGAAGGGTTCAGTTGCATTTATGAGTTGCATTGTGAAAAATAAGTAGCTTTCTTAGTAGGATTCTTAGACAGAAAAGATGGACCATTTTGGACATTTTCTATTGCTAATAGTATACCCTAAATGAGTTCTCTAAATGGAAGACTTTCAATCCTATTGGTATCAGAATCCTTAACCAGCACCTGCAGAAAGAGAGTTTTAAGGTGTATGATGAGCCAGAGCCTAGACTGAGGATATATCCAAGCCTTGAAGCACAGCATCTTGCCCCAGTCACACTGAAACCCACACCACAGAACAAATTAGATCTGGGCTTTGAAAACTACAAGCAGCATATCTTAGGTGAGTTACCCTATTGCTACTTTATGATATTTGGATTATGTCATTAAAATTGAACCTCACTCAGTAAATTACTGAAAGGATAAAGATGTTAGTGTGAGTTGTATTTATTTCAGATAAAGAAGCTCAAGAAACCGAAAAGAAGAAAGCTGGTAATAAAAGGCAGGCGGGGGATGTTCTTAGTGATGACTCTAACAGTGCAACCCAGGCTACAGGTTCTGTTGATAAAGAACAGCCAGACAAAGGTCATATCACCAATAACAATAAAAATGCCCCACTATCAGTGGACCCCAAGACATCAGGAGCTTCAGAAAAGGACAAGTCTGTAACTATGGAAACTAGCTGCCTTAGTAACACCCAAGGAAACAATTTATTAGTTTTCAACAGAGCTGAGGACGATGCAGCAACCAGCGCGGCATTGCAGTGCAATAATAGTTCAAATAATGATAATAATACTCATAAAAGTACAGAAAAAACATCAAGTGAGAATAACGAAGAACAGAAGAAGAAAACTGTTAATGAAAGTAACGAAGAACAAAGAAGGTCGGAAGTGGAGCGTTTTCGTAATGGCTGGACTCTTCAGGAGGCAGAAAACCTGAGCATAGCCCATATCCACCTTATTCTTGGGTCCCCAGAGAAACTTGTGCTGGAGTATGAGTGGGAGGAACCTAACGAGACACCACACCTAGAGAATGCCTCACTGTCTAATATGCTGAGGAGGCTGGTGCATTTGGCAATGTCAGAGTTCACAGACTTCTCTAAGCCGAAACAGGTAGGCGTTAAACTGGTGATTAGTGTTTCAGATAAAACCAATGGTTAAACATAAACTGTCTTACTATAAAGCTCAGTCCAAGCTGAAATTTTATTTAGTCACATAGCTTGCTGATTATAGCTTAATCAACACTTTGTACTAGATTTATAATTGCATCTGATGCAAATCTGCTATGCTAGAGTTTGCATAGTTCTGTAGTTTGATAGTCTAACTTTTCAGTTCAGTAAAATTCTGCTGTTTTTTCCTCATATATTCTAATTTTTTTCACCTTGCCCACCTTCATTATCTACTTCTCATATTATATTTTGAAAAGGGTGGATAGATGGATATTATCAAATTCTTCTTGTGAGCATAATGTTCAAACAACTTATTGGACTTTTACTTGTTTTAGCCTGGCTCTTCTTCACCGTGTAAATGTTGTGGTAATGTTCACACTGGTGGGTCACCAAGAAACCGTTCAAGTCAGAACAGAAGTCCAGGGGGCAGCACCAGAAGTCCGTCTGTCAGAGGAGGACAGATGGGAAAAAGTCCATCCACTCCCAAGACATCAAGAAGGAATACTGATGGAAGAAGCTCTCCTGTTTCTAGGGTATGTCATTTGTGCCTGCTGTGTCCTTTCTATCTGCCAAGCATAACCTTATCTCCTACATCAAGAAGTTTGCTTCGTTGCTCTTCATGTGGTTTCGGCAGTTTCTCATCACAGCTAATATTTACATATTTAGATGTTTTATCAAAAGGAAAAGTAAAGTTGTTTACTTTGCTACTTTCTGTTGGTTTGTAAATAAATGTACTGTGGCGTCTATCTTTAGTGTCTGAAATATAAACTTGGTCATTTTTTTGAAGGAATTTTAGTAGTTTATCAGATATGACATTTTCCGCTTATTAGCAGATATCTGATTTGGATGATTTTGTTGCTTACGAAATATCTCATCCCTGGTTTATGTATGTGAGATTCAGGATAGCTTCATGCTCACTCCAAGAAATCAAATTTTCAGAGGCGGACACAAAGCGGAGGTGACAAGGCAGCAGATGTCAGTGACAAAAACAAAGAAGATGACTCTGTGTTTAGAAAACCAGCAGATTTCCCTGCCCCCAAGTCCCAGAGCCACCAGAAGAACCACGTAAAAGGGACTGAAGCACAGTTGATACATACTCAGAACACACAGGCAGAAGCTAGGAACTTCATGGAACAGCTCAGCAGGCTCTCTGTGAGTACCAGTCATCTGAGTGAACAAAGGCATGAAAGATTTTGGAATGTTTTTTGTGAATGTATTGCATGTGTGTCTTTCCAACTTCATCCGATTACAAAGAAATGTGACAAATATGATTTTCTAAGCATTGTATTTGTGATGTTCATCATCATGTGTTTAAGAAAGTCACTGATGTGGTGGATAATATTGAGAATAGAATATTTCTTGTTAAGCATTGAATGATGATAATACTAGTTACATCAAGTTACATTAAAATAAAGATACAAGGACAGATGACTTCAATTAAAACCATTTGATAAATAAAGAAGAGTGATAAGGGTTTATATGATCTTTTCTTAACAGAGACAAGACCTTTTCTCACAAAAGAACAAAATGCGAAGCAGGATGGTGCGGAAGCCAATGGTGGTACAGCGAACCCTTCTTCCCAAGGCCACGGTGCCAACACGTCACATCATGGGCCTACCTGTGATACACGGATCACCCTCTCAGCTCTCCACAGGCGCCGTCCCATCAGGCTCTTTTATCCCTATCATTCAGCAGCAACAGATAGCAAATCAAAATATCACCACTGGTGGCAGCGGTGGGTCAGTTCTCAATCCTGGCAGTGGGTCAGTTTTGGATGGACAATCTGTCATTGATGGCCAGTCTCAGCAGTTGATGGCCCAAGTGCAGGCTGTGGTCAGTTCCCAGCCACTGGTCAGTATTTTCCCCAGTGCAGTGACCACTGTCCAGACCATAGTGGGTGGTCAGCAGGGCACACAGCTGGTCACGTCGGACAGTGCCCAGGGCCAGATGACCACAGACAGTAGCCTAGGTCAGGGATATAGGAAGATAGCACCTGCTCCTTTAGTACAAGGTATTGATATAGACTTAGTTCATTTGCAACGATATGGGTGGAGCAAGTTTTAATTTACAATTTTACATGAAGTGCATGCTTGACTCTGATAGATATTGATCTTTTTTAAAATGGGTCCATGCTCAAACATGATTTGTATCCTGTATATCATTATATCTTTATCTGTAATATTGCAGGATCTGCGTCCCTGTCTCCACTCACTGTGCAGGCTCTTCCAGGCAGTTCCACTCTGCTACACGTCAGAGCAGGTAGGTCATTAAAAAACCTTGGCATCATTACTGTTTTTATGCAAGAACTGAAAAAGGGAGATATATAATTATTACTTTTTAGTCAATTTGTATTAGACATGGAATTATTTCTGATATGTCTATGACTTAATTCAAATCTTCCACCAAAAATGATTTTGCAATAGGCTTATGACACGTGTAATGCTATGATTTTTCCACTGTTGATATTTAGGACCGCCAGTATTTATTCAATTAAGGGAAGAAAATAAGACAAATCATCATTTCTAATGATATCTTAGAAGAATTCAATCTTCATAGAAACACACATTAAAACATGGGACTTTTTTTGTCATTTTCAGAGTCTCCCATGACTGTAATCCAGGCTAGCAGTAACTCACCCGGGCCCATATCAAGTTCTGACCTGGCTCCTTCACCTATGTTATCTGGAGTGTCTGGGATACAGGCTGCTAGCTCACCTGTCCTGGCTAATATGCTGGGGATCACTCGGGTAAGTTGTATGAAAAATGAAAACTTTTTATTTTGGTAATTGCTTATATGCTGGGGATCACTCAGGTAAGTTGATAATTGTTAAGATGTTGGAGATCACTTAGGTAAGTTAAATGAAAAAAAAAAAAGAAACAACATTTTTAAAAATGCAGATATTATCTAATATAATTATGTGGAATTTTACTGTATCCTACTTGTTGGTATGGTCTGTGTGTTGAATTTGGCATTGCAGCTTTAAAAGGTACAGAATAAGAACTTAAACAGTGCCAGAAGCAATATTATTTATCAGTATTTCTCGAATTTCTCTGAATTATAGTGAGAAAATTACAGAAGGTCAAATTTTAAGTGTTGTGCATATTTTTTTTATCCATCTGTTAAAATTATTTTGGGACTTGTAAGATATGAAAGTGTGTCCCATTTTTTTATCATGCAATAATTTTTGTTTAAATTATGAGTTATCTTTTTAGACTCATTTGAGGAAAGATTTACATTTTAAATATCCAGGCATATGTATAAATATGGCGCAGTGATAATTAATAGAATCTTGCTATACTTCAGACACCTACCACCACTTCTGTCACCACCACTGTCACCAGCTCCGGTACCATGGCGCCTCTCAACGAGTTTGGACTCGGTGACAATGTGCCTGCCAGAGGGAATACATCAAACTTTACATCCCCACCAAATATGTCATCATTTCTGGACATATCACTGCCTGAGGCTCCTCCTGGTGAGTGCTGCCACATAGTGTTCATTTTGTGGGAAGTGTTTCCAGTTTTTTTGCCCTCTATTATTTTGCTGTGTTTGATGAGTCTTCAGTTATGATTGGATAGTTGTTTTGTTAGGTCAGATCTTCAGCTGGATTTTTTGAGTGTGTGTTTGTTTGTGTGTACTATCAATTGCTTAGTTACACTGTTATTTACTTATTTAAACACTTATTTACTTATTTAAATTTCCCACAGCATGCCTGTGCCTGATTCTTTGCTTTCATACTGTATCTCAAAAATTGTTTGGTTTCAAGTTGTGTAATTTTTCATTGCTTGAAAGCAACTCAAGTTGATGACATAACCACCACTCCTGCAATTCTCGATTTTCACCAGATAGAAAACAGGATTATAGATATTGCTTAGATGTAATAGTTATTTTCTTGATTTTTCAGTTGCAGTATCAGAGTCTGCAGATAAGCTCATCGACTTTGCTCTGGAGAATGTGTTAGGTAAGTACTGTGTTTAGTTGCTTGCTTAAACATCATTTAGTAATCAAAGACATCATCAGATCAGTCAATGACATAATTTAGCAAGTCTTTATTATTTATCAGAGTTTTAACAGTATAAAGTGCATTGAATAAACCAGCATAGTTAAGCCCATATATTAAACAAAGGCGTTTGAAGTGAAAATTTCGAAACATGATATCAAATTTTTCATGAAATCAGAACCCAGCAGTATATACCTTTGTTGCTAACTTTTCAGAGCGACCAAGCACTCCCCCCATGAGCAGTTCAACCCTGGGTTTTCAGGGGCTTAGTTCCCCAGAGAAGTGGTTCAATGGAGAAGTACGTTTTTTTTTTTTTTTAATAATAAGAAAAAGGGATTTTTTAATGAAATAAATCGTTTCCCACACAGTGATAAAACAACATGATGTTGGTTTACATGAAAATGTCATGTGAACTACTTTCATAAAATGATTCATAAAAAAATTGCTTAATCTAATTTAATTTTAAAGGATATAGATTGTTGGCAATATGACAGAAATTTCAATGTCTTTAATAATAATTGCTTATTTGACAAAAATTGATTGTCTTGTTTACCTGATCAATCCATTTAAACAGGTAGTCCTTCATACTGATAATTTTTTTTTAGATGGGTGACATATCCCTTGGCAGTCTGTTAGAGTCCCCCTTGAAGAAGGACGTCTCCTTAACCAGTTCAGTGATTCCAACTACCCCATTATTTAATGAATGCAGCCGAGATTCCATCGCTTCAAGATTTGATGTAAGACTGATTTATTTATTTATTGATTGATTGATTGATTGAAATTTTTTGGCTGGTTTATAGTGGAGAGAAGTGCTGTATCAAATCAAGTTTTTATTAGATGGTGTGATCATCACAAACAGATGTTTTGACATAGAAGTTAAAACGTAATTAATAAATTAAGTGAAAAAATTGTGACAGAATTTAACAAGATCTTGTTATGATGGAATGGTAAATGGTGCAGTGTTTCTGTGTTTACAACAAATAAGTGAGATGATGGTATTGGGATGTAATGTTTAACCTCCTAACTTTTTTTTTTGGTTATTGAATAGGTGGACTCTACTATCAGTGCCCTGATGAATGAGAATAGTCTTGACTACATGGCCAAGTTTGCTGAACTAGCGGCTCAAGTGAGTGCACAGCCAGAAACTCCTAAGAAAGGAGAACCCAGACAAGCAAGTACATAGAAATGAAGAACAAAGCGTGCTGGACAAATGACCATTGGCCCAGATGTAACGGCCAGTAACCATAAGATAGGGCAGGTCTGACAACATGGGTTAAAGAAAAAAAAAAGTGATCTAGTGCATAGTAAGGGAAGAAGAAATCAAGAGTTTAAGAAAACAACCTTCATGACTCTAACCCTATTTAGATTAAGCATGATATTTGATGGAGAGATATATTGAACTAAGAAAATTAATCAAAATATTTTCACTATTCTTTAAAGGCTGTTGGAGAACATGGTTGATGTATTCCCAGTAACATATTTATGTACTGCAAGTAGATTTGGCAGAATTCAGAATTTTTTCATACAACAATAGTGATAGAAAAAGTGATCAAAAGAGATTCGGTGAAATAAGATAGAAAGTGTTGTGCGTTAGAAAAATTTGTGCAAAATGTTGAGTTATTTGACAGAAAATATCCTTCTTTTTGTTAGAGAATAGGTGAACTCTACTATCAGTGCCCTTATGAACACCTTTATAATTGAAAAGGTAATTTTAGAATTAAAAATTTATTGTAAATTATGTACAGGGCTTCTAGATTTTTACAGTATTCGTTTTTGTACATCTTGCATCCTGTAAATAAGATGCAATTTTGTGAATTAATGTGCAATTTTGAGTTGTATGCAAGACGAACAATGTTTTAATGTCTGTGGTGCTGTGAGATATAAGGAAATGGGATGGTTTTGTTAATTGTGATGCAGGTATTTTTTCAGTTTCTCAAAGTCCTTGGGCCTCTGGTATCTACTTAAGGAGCATTCTGTGAGTTAAAAAGATTGTGCATTGAACCCTGATCGACCTTTCTCCCAAACTTCTCCAAGCTCTCTCAGACATGCTAGTAAAACCAGTCTTATTTAAAAAAAAAACTGTCAAATAAATGGAAAGAAACATAGCTGTACACTCTTCATTGTGTATGTACACATTAACTACTTGAAAATTGTCTTTATTCAACTTTATTCAAATGATTTTTTTAAGTCACAGTAACAAATGGGTGTTTTGACATGTAAAGCAATTGCCTAGTTATTTCTCAAAACTGTTGCTGAAGTGTCCTGTAAACAGTCAGGTAAGGGGATAGCATAAAACAAATGGAAAACAATAAAAATGCACAGAAGATGTTTTTTTTTTTTTCAAACATTTTTCNTTTTTTTTTTTTTTTTTTTTTTTTTTTTTTTTTTCAAACATTTTTCTTTCAGTGAACTCTGTTCATCTGCATTTTCTATTTCAAGTGTATTACAACAAACATTAAAATTTGCTTTTGAATATACAATACACTTTTGTTATAAAATGTATAGTTCATTACACATTTGCCCATTAAAGACTTTGGAGTAGATAATCTGACTGTGACAAAGTAAGTTGCATGACTAGCAGTCATTAAAATACCTAATGTTATGGTTTCAGTTCAGAGTTGTTTGGCCGCTGTGTGCAAGTGCTCAGAGAGCATAATGGCGCCAAACAGAATCGGGGTGCAATTCAAGTGTAGGTACTGGTAACCGGTGTTTAGGAATAGTGCATCTGAAAGTAGTAGTTTTTATTTGTGTCACAAGTGGTGAAGAAGAGTTTTACACAATAAATGGTCAAGTGTGTGTAGATGTGCTAAGTTGAGAAAAATGCATAGTTTGTTAGTTCTCTGCCAAATCAAGCTGTGGAATCACAGTGGCATTAATAAGTAACGTAGTTTATAGTTAAGGAAAAATATATGATGTTACTCTGTTCTAAAAAGATTCAAAATTTGGTTTGATATTGCCATAATGTTAATGTTTTGATTATCTCAATCAGTTGCTGATCTACATTATTCAGTGGATTTAAAGCCTATTATTAAATTTAAGGTAAATTTTGTAAGACAGGTTTGTTTTAATTACAATTATTTCATTATAATCCTTGTAACCAATAAACAACCATATCAAATTTTGATTGCACAGAATATAAAAATGTAAGCTGCAATGATTTATAACATATAATTTTATTACAAGCCAAATTACGTTTTGTATTACCTAGTGGTACCAGTGTGATTTCAGTTGCATAGTTTAAGATGCACAAGTTATTTTTCCAAAACAAATTGTATTGCATATTACAAATTAGGGGTTTTATGACCATTTTTAGTGAAATATGTAATATTTAGTTCTAAGCTGTTCAATATGCTAAGTCATAGTTCAAGTACACCATTATGTTGAACACCAAAGAGTTCATGAAATGTGGAAATGATAGTTTAGCCGAATATATTTTTGCCCTAGCACATACATTGTACAAATGTTTTTGTAAAACATAGTGAAAATAAATTTTTGTATCAGTTGTCTTTTGGTGTTTATATCGTTTAATTTTAACAGTTTATGCAACTTATTTAATAGGAAAGTTGTCCTTCAAGAAGTATAGCATTAGTTAAATAGATAAGTGTTCTTTTCCCCCAAAAAATGCAAAAATTTTGATGTACTATTGGCTTTTCAACACAGTCCGCTTTGATAAATTATGAAATATGAATCAAATGCAACTTTAGCTTTACAGAGCACTGAAACATTTCTTAAATCAGCATTCCTATGAAACTAGGAGGTGATCACACGTCATCCCCAACCCTTAATTTCTAGGCTTTTCTTTCACTAAAAAAATGTTAGCCGCATTGCATTTCTCATTTGTCTAGTAAAACTAGATTTCAAAAAGAACCCATGAGAAAACCTAAATTTCTTAACAATTTTATTAGTCACTGTTGGTAACCAACACACCATGCAGTATGTCATTTGATATACAGCGCAAATTTGTGCCATTTTTACAGAAATCACTGGGATCAAGAGAAAAAAAAAACTTCAATCTTAATTTAAAGCTTTAACATAGACTTATAACTGCGGCCTGTGTCAAAATCTAAACCTACACAACCGCCCTGATAAGCTGATAAACCACAAGACAAGTAATATTCAATCCCCAATTCCTTTTCAGAATTCAACTACTCAAATGACGACTGTCACTTAACATAAATGTGGTAAAGCCCATGTATAAATGAACTTTTATTTTGTGATTGAACCACAGCAAGACAAGTCAAAGCTTCAGCCGAACTCTGAAGTGAATAAAAAGTGTAAAGGAACTTAAATATGGCATTCCAACAAAGCAAGTCAAACAACAACCATAAATGTTTTAACTACCACTACATCCAGCAGGATCCGTACACTTTATACCTTTCAGTAAAAAATAATTACTCCCATCATATAAGCTGTATAGCAAAAATAAAGCAAAGTGAAAAGCATGCTACATACATAACTGTACATTAATTACAATTTACAAAACATACTTGTTATAATAATAATTATTATCACCATTATTTATAATAATTGGTTTTCCTTTACAGCACATTTCTAAACTTTACAATGTTTATTGCTTATATTATACTTCTCCACAAAAAGATTAATTAAAACTCATTCATAACAGCTGAATAATTATTTATCAATAAACTTCCAACTGCAATAAATAAATTAAAAATAATTAATTAATTAAGAAATAATAAATAATTTCCAACTTAGAATATATCCAGCTTAGAATTTCAGCTACTGTTTGGATTTTCCAATAAATATTAAACTATTATTCAGATGAATACATCACTGTCACTAAATAATTATAATGTACTGAGTTGATATATCAAATTATACTAATTTACAACCAACCTAGGCCTAGGATCTTAAATTCAAATGGAAAAATTATAATCCTGTATATTAGTATAGTAGAATAACATAACCATGTGTAACTGAAATATTTGTAATCTTACTTCTCAATATCAATAATAACATTAAGTACAATATGAAATAATTAAGCCAAAAACTGAATAAAGATTTGAAGTCTTATGCAGAACTCTTGAAAAATCTTGAATAACTAGATGTGACAACAAAAAATTAGTTAATTAAATGAAACATACAAAGAAATAAAACCTTTTTAAGCTACAAAACACAAACACAAAATGTCAGGTAAATAAGGGAAAGAATTCCACATTCAAAATTTTTTTCTTTATATTAAGAACTTGGTATACTTGGAAAAAAAACTACTCATGTTTCATCTTTATTTAAAAGATTAAGTTTCTATGCGCAATGCCTTGATTGAAACACACAAACAAACAAGTAATTATGCTTAGTCTGATCAAAAGTACATATTTTCTGGCTCAACTTATTTTGGCTCATCAAGTTCTTATTTTTTTTCCAAGTTAACATAAATGACCTTGGAAAAAGTACTAATAAGTATTTTAAATTTACAAATAAAAAAAAAAAATTCAAGTTAATAACACCAAAGGACACAACTGCAAGTAATTTAAATTGATTTGAAATAATACAGATTGACTGAATAAGAGTGACAACAGACAAAAAAAAATCCAAGTTTAGTTGATCCCCTTCTTCATCTTGGGGGAAGGGGGCATTAGTCAATTTGAAAGTCTAAATTTTCTATGATTAAACACACACACACACAAAAATCAATTTGAATTCATGAGTGGGACAGGTATTCTTGAAGCCACATTACAACATCCAAAGCCAATACTTAACGTTCAAGTCACCTGTATGCAAGTTACCATAATAGATGAAAAAGAAGTCATGTCAACGAGGTAGGATCAGTATTTGTTAGAAAAAATATTTTGGGCCATCAACTATTAATATACCATTTATGTAAAGAGAATGCTATTTGAAAAAAAAAATAATAATTAAAAACCCAGGCAAGATTATCAGAGTACTTTAAATAAAGATCAGCTCTTTATTTGTGTTAGATACTTCAAGTCCTACTTTACTTTCTCTCTCAATGGTAAGATTTACGTTTTTTGCATTATCGCGCACGCCTCGAAACTGCTCAATGCCTCAAAATATCATGGATGTTCTAATTGTGACAGCATATCCTGTTGAGTCTACACCTGCCATTCTATCAAAACTCTGCCATTCTTTTCGGTATTTCTCAAAACAAGCATCAATTTTTCTATGGGATAGCCTGATAATTGCATGTACGGAAAAGTTAGTTGGGTCACAATATCTAAATCTAAACTTATCTTTTAATTACATCTGATTTACTTCCTGATATATCCAGGAAAAGCGGGACAAATATCAACTCTGAACTATCAAGTATGTTTAATTTTGTATTATAACTGAAAAAGAATAAAGGATTTATAGAAGTGAAACATCTTTATATTGATATAATAAGTATATCAGCTTACAGACAAACTTTTCATTTGAAAATCCTGATTATAAAGACTTGTATTTCTTAAGGAAGAGAAAACTTTTGAAAAAACAACTAACATAATATTAATCCAAGCAGATAGGAATAGTTAAATACAATAAGGCTCAAGTCCTGGCATGTGGGGGTTGGTACATCTGTTGCTGTGGCCGCTGTGATTGTTGCCGTGACCTATCTTGTCGAGAATGCTGCATTTCTTGTGTTTGTTGTTGCTGTTGCTGTTGTTGTTGCTGTGTGTACATGGTTCCGCCTCCTCCGCGCCTGAACTCCATCGTATTAACAAACCCTCCCTGAATCAGCTGCTCTGCAGTAAAGCCTTGGGGAGCAGGGAGCAGTCCTTGGACACCGGCAGCCTGGGGAGGGGCTGTGGCATACGTCTGCTGAGTAGGAAAGGCTATTTGGATTTGCACCGGCCCTGGCCCTGTGGAATCCTGCAGCAAATACCAATATCACTTCATGACAAGTGTAAAAAGATCACCACACATCTATTACATATATATATATAAAGACCAACACCTTGATGGTCTCATCTTCCAAATATAAATATATATGCAAAACAGAAAATACGATGAGTGACAATCCATATAAAATACAATAAGTCATATGATTTGAGGAAGACTTTATAATTTTCATAAGATTCATCAAACATGAAAAACTAAATCCATGTAATCACCAGCATTGGACATTATTACTATTGAAAAAAATAGCTTATCCATGAAACTGACATCCTTGAAAGCTGTGAAATCCTAGAATAATAAATTCAGCATGTCAGGTACTGAAACAGACAAGGTTTAAGGAGTGGAAATTCCATCAATTCCTTTACTTCCAGGGGGGAAAACCCACATCTCTTACTATATCCATCTAACACACACACACACACCCACACACACACACAAAATAAAAAAAAATAAATAAATAAATAAATAAATAAAAAAATCCATCTATCTCTGCATCTACTTACCCACACATCTTTTGGAATCTGAAACATATCTGAAAATGGCACATCTTCATTGTTTCCATAGTCCACAAATGTGACTCGACTGATCTGACTCTGTAGATTCACACCTATTACGACAGCTTTGTACCACTGAAATAAATAACAGGATAGAATACTGTATGATGGAATAATAGATGTCACTTGTAATATGAAGTCCTAAAGCAGATCTATCCCCGTTTCTAAGACAATGATTTGACAGCAGGACAGAAGACAACAATTCACAACTGGGTGAAACCAGTTTTAATAGACTTGTATTAATGAAAGGTCATTTACATTAAAAAATAATACTGTCACAGATCTTCATTTAAAAAATTACAGCTAGATGCAGTGGAATAATTTGTTTGAGCTGCGATTCATACTCTGAGCTGCTCACTACAGCATCATTTAAAGATATAACAATTAATTTTGTTTACTTAAAAGTGCAGAAATGCCATATGTATGTTGTGTATAAAAGTATATACATTACTGATTTTGATTTGTAGTTCATCTCACCTGTTGGTCTTCCCAAAATTTGGCTATGCAAACATCACCTTCATTCCACTGCTGTGCTTCTGCAGAGTTCATCTACAATTAAATGGAAGAAATTGCAAATACTTTGAAACCTAAGCAGCATGATATTTCATTAGCATGTAAGTATATCTAAACAAATTGCTGCGTAATAACTACAAGGGTAACAGAAACAAAAATCCTTTCAGAAGTATCAGACATGAGCCTAGGTTAAAAAAAAAACCCTCTGAACAGATTTTATTGCAGATCTTGAAGAATCTTAGGAACCATCAGAATTGACTTAAAAAATGCCAAATTTCGCTTTTACTTGAAACAGCTCATGTATGAAGTATTAAGAGACATGGACTTAGTCGAGATCATAACTATTCATTTCCTACCCAATTAATAGCATGCTGAAATTTTCTTCAAATTTTATGAGTACAATAATTTTAAGTTTTTTTGTCCACTAACAAATAGACCACCAACACACATAAAAACCAGATTTCTTTCCTTGGCAGAGTGATAATTTTCATGTTACCTGTGGCTGTTGCGGTTGTTGAGCAGGAAACACGATTTGTCCCTGCTGGTTGACCTGGGCCACCTGGAATGCTGCTGCTGCCATCTGGCCCTGCTGGGTCTGAGCAGGATGATAATATGGCTGCTGGGTTGCCGCAAACGTCTGGAACGTCTGCCCATTTTGTGTCTGATAGATTGCTGGTCCAGGGATGAACGTCTGCTGGCCATATGACTGTGGAGTTTGAGCCTGCATTTGTTGCTGCTGGGGTTGCTGTTGTTGTTGTTCATGCTGATGCTGTTGATGCTGTCCGTCCTGTTGTACAAGTTGCTGTTGAAGGAGATACTGATCTTGTTGCTGCTGCTGTTGCTGTCTGTTTTTCCGATTCCCTTTTTGTGACCGGTTTCCCGCGCCTCCGTCTTGTTGGTAGTTTTCCATATATTGCATCTGGCCTTGTTGATGTCCCTGGGGGCCACCACCACCACCCCGGTTGCGGTACTGAGAGCCTCCGTGCAGCTTGTTGGGGTCTTGCTGCTGATATTGATTGGGTGGAGCCTGCTGGTGCTCAGGAGGCACATACTGATCCGTTTTAGGATCATATAACTGTTTTTGTTTCACAGGGCCCCTGGAGCTCCCAGACCCATGCCTCCCACCTCGATATTCATCACCCCCTCGACCGTAATCCCCACCATATCCTCTTCCCCCACCTCGCCCACGCCCTCCTTGGTAATAATGATCATTTCTCCTATTACTATTATAATAACCACCATTTTGCTGATTGGCATTCCAGTTTCCAGCTGACTCGTTATGATGATAGCCATCATAATTTTGATAACCATAGTCTTTTCTGTTTTGATTCCACTCGTTATGGTAGGACCCATTCTGGTAGTCATTTTTCAACCTTCGGGAGTCCTGATTCTGAGATCGTTGTGACGGCCTTTCCCCTCCGCCCCCTCCTCGCTGGGCCGCTTGCCCCTTATAACTGGTGGAGGCCTGGTAACTCTCCCTGGGTGTGGGGCCGCTGTACTGGCCTACACGGGGATCAGCAGCTTTCTGCTCATTCAGCAATTTATTCTGTAACCTGGGAGGTAAGTTTTTTATTCTGTCCTGCTTCTGGGCAGCAGTAGGCGGGGGAGGTTTGTTACTGGCCTGGTTGTCCCCTCCTCCTTCTTTTGTGGGCTTGTCGTCTTTCTCTTTAGCATCTGGAAAATTATTTCAAACACATTTTAATCAAATCTTCTAAATTATTTATCTGGCCTACATCTCAAGCTGATGAATACATTCAGAAGAATCATTTACCCATTCAATTATTTATCTGGCCTACATCTCAAGCTGATGAATACATTCAGAAGAGTCATTTACCCATTCACAGACTTATAAAAAATGAAAATTAAGAAGAATTCATTGCACCAAATTTCCTTTCCAGAAATCTGGTAAAATCAAAATATTCGTTCTTCTCTCTTGAATTCAAAGAAAAAATTAGGTCTGGGCAAGCAATCCAGAAAATGATCTCACCTTCTTTTATTGGCCCAGCTTTGTTTAGAATAAAGTCGAATAGCGTGGCAGGTGCAGATGGACGGGAAGATCCTTGCTCAAACTCCTCTTCTTTACCACGCCCTCGGCCCCGTCCAACTAAAATTTAAGTTATTGTCAGATTAAAAACTTTTTGTAGCTATCCCCAATATGTATAAAAGAGCACTAATGAGAATTCTTCCCAGTCACTTATTCTTCTGTAGATTTCTGTTGTATTTTAACAGTTTAAAAATCTATGAGAGATATTATTGTTTATCAAATGTGACAAAATGAACTACTGAACTCGTTTGTAAATACTTTATGATTCAACCTGTGCTAGACTATACGGCATAACATACTCTGATGCATATAAAAAAATGTCATCAAAACGTGGATACACAATGTACAAACTAATCACTGCCATAACAACCCACCTCCTCTGTCCTCTCGCCCCCCTCTGCCAAACCCTCCCCTGCCCCCTCTACCACCCCCTCTGTACCCAGAGCCAGGACTGATGACTAGGGAGGCTATAGCTTCTTCTAGGTTACTGTTTGTCTGGCGCAGGGCATTAGTAGCCTGGTCTGGCGTGAAGCCCATTTCTACAATCTTTGCTATGTCTTTGTCTTGAATCTGAATCGGACAAAGTAACACCAGGTACGTGTTGTTGCATTTAAATGACAGAAAAGGAAATTAGTCCAATTGTAATCTTGGCGACAGAGAGATCCTTCTTTTTAATTATTTTTTCAAAATTAAATTAAACTAATGAAAATAGGTTAGTTTAATCTAAAGTTTTTGTTCTTATGAATACTTAATTATCTCTATCCCTTTCTCTCAGTTAAAACAAGAAACAATTTAAATGATCCCATAATGCAAACGAATGTCATCAAACTCACCTGTTTCCCTCCAAATGTTTTCCCCTTTCCATCTTCTTTAGCCTGAATGGCTTCTGCCAAAGCTGCTTGTCGCTGCTGTTCAAACTCTCCATCCCCTTCCTTCTTTTCTTCTTTACTGGATTCTAAAGACTTAAATGTTTCTGGAAAGCAATAACACTTACTTTATTGGAAATCTGACTTGGTTATTATAGGAGTCTGTATAGATCCTGCTTTAAGCTACTGAACAACTTAACACATATAACCTCCATTATTCTTCATAAGAATATTCTATCAAAACAACTCCATTCCCTTTCATCATAGTCCCCAACAAACCTCTTGATCTAGGTCCATTCTGTGTTGTGTCATGTAATTTGTGACCGAATGGCACGAAAGCAGGCGGTCCATCCTCTCCCCCTCCTCTCCTGCGAGACTGGACTGCAAGAGACTGAAAACAAGAACAATTCACAGTAAAAATCATTGAAAAAATGGAATAACACCAACTTTTTCAGAGCCAATGTCTTCTTTTATACAAAATTCAAACATAAGTCTGCCAGTCCCAAAGAGACATTTATAACTTTTTTTAAAGATCCAGTTTGTCTAAAAGTCTTTAAAAGAGATGATCTAACCTTTTTAAGTTCCCAGTTTTCTACCAGCCTCTCCACGCGTCCCCCCAGGCACTTAATATTACTGTTTGTCAGCTGAAGAAAGCCACTGTTAATGGTCAGCTTGCCAGTCAGTTTTACTTTGGTTCCAGGAGGAGTATTAAGGCTAAAATAAGAAACATCTTTCATATTCTTCTGCTGTATATTATTAGGAACTAAAGACAATTACAAAGAAGGCAACATGCCATTGTGTGATGTAAGAATTATCTTTTAATAAATTAGTGGTCTTTGGTGCACATAATTTAAAAGGAAAGGTTGACATGACCTAGAAACAAACATAATGCTTTGCAGAACCTTTGGAGCTGATGTATTTTTTTAAACTAAATTTTGTAATGTAAACATAAAACACTTCAAAATGGCAACATTAACCTACTATATATGTATTGCATCACCATCAGGGGGCATTAATGGTCGTATCTATGACAAACCTTATATCTTTAAGAGTTTCCACTTCAAGTCCATTACACATGGCACAGCCATCTGTGAATGTGATCTTCAGCATACGTGGCGCTACGTTTGATTCTTCGTTGTCTTTAGGAGCAGTAACGTTTCTTATTTTATGGACTTGTAACACAATTGGACCATCCCACTGAAATGAAAAAAAAAATGCATATAAAACACATACCANTTCTGTTGTATTTTAACAGTTTAAAAATCTATGAGAGATATTATTGTTTATCAAATGTGACAAAATGAACTACTGAACTCGTTTGTAAATACTTTATGATTCAACCTGTGCTAGACTATACGGCATAACATACTCTGATGCATATAAAAAAATGTCATCAAAACGTGGATACACAATGTACAAACTAATCACTGCCATAACAACCCACCTCCTCTGTCCTCTCGCCCCCCTCTGCCAAACCCTCCCCTGCCCCCTCTACCACCCCCTCTGTACCCAGAGCCAGGACTGATGACTAGGGAGGCTATAGCTTCTTCTAGGTTACTGTTTGTCTGGCGCAGGGCATTAGTAGCCTGGTCTGGCGTGAAGCCCATTTCTACAATCTTTGCTATGTCTTTGTCTTGAATCTGAATCGGACAAAGTAACACCAGGTACGTGTTGTTGCATTTAAATGACAGAAAAGGAAATTAGTCCAATTGTAATCTTGGCGACAGAGAGATCCTTCTTTTTAATTATTTTTTCAAAATTAAATTAAACTAATGAAAATAGGTTAGTTTAATCTAAAGTTTTTGTTCTTATGAATACTTAATTATCTCTATCCCTTTCTCTCAGTTAAAACAAGAAACAATTTAAATGATCCCATAATGCAAACGAATGTCATCAAACTCACCTGTTTCCCTCCAAATGTTTTCCCCTTTCCATCTTCTTTAGCCTGAATGGCTTCTGCCAAAGCTGCTTGTCGCTGCTGTTCAAACTCTCCATCCCCTTCCTTCTTTTCTTCTTTACTGGATTCTAAAGACTTAAATGTTTCTGGAAAGCAATAACACTTACTTTATTGGAAATCTGACTTGGTTATTATAGGAGTCTGTATAGATCCTGCTTTAAGCTACTGAACAACTTAACACATATAACCTCCATTATTCTTCATAAGAATATTCTATCAAAACAACTCCATTCCCTTTCATCATAGTCCCCAACAAACCTCTTGATCTAGGTCCATTCTGTGTTGTGTCATGTAATTTGTGACCGAATGGCACGAAAGCAGGCGGTCCATCCTCTCCCCCTCCTCTCCTGCGAGACTGGACTGCAAGAGACTGAAAACAAGAACAATTCACAGTAAAAATCATTGAAAAAATGGAATAACACCAACTTTTTCAGAGCCAATGTCTTCTTTTATACAAAATTCAAACATAAGTCTGCCAGTCCCAAAGAGACATTTATAACTTTTTTTAAAGATCCAGTTTGTCTTAAAGTCTTTAAAAGAGATGATCTAACCTTTTTAAGTTCCCAGTTTTCTACCAGCCTCTCCACGCGTCCCCCCAGGCACTTAATATTACTGTTTGTCAGCTGCAGAAAGCCACTGTTAATGGTCAGCTTGCCAGTCAGTTTTACTTTGGTTCCAGGAGGAGTATTAAGGCTAAAATAAGAAACATCTTTCATATTCTTCTGCTGTATATTATTAGGAACTAAAGACAATTACAAAGAAGGCAACATGCCATTGTGTGATGTAAGAATTATCTTTTAATAAATTAGTGGTCTTTGGTGCACATAATTTAAAAGGAAAGGTTGACATGACCTAGAAACAAACATAATGCTTTGCAGAACCTTTGGAGCTGATGTATTTTTTTAAACTAAATTTTGTAATTTAAACATAAAACACTTCAAAATGGCAACATTAACCTACTATATATGTATTGCATCACCATCAGGGGGCATTAATGGTCGTATCTATGACAAACCTTATATCTTTAAGAGTTTCCACTTCAAGTCCATTACACATGGCACAGCCATCTGTGAATGTGATCTTCAGCATACGTGGCGCTACGTTTGATTCTTCGTTGTCTTTAGGAGCAGTAACGTTTCTTATTTTATGGACTTGTAACACAATTGGACCATCCCACTGAAATGAAAAAAAAAATGCATATAAAACACATACCACACAACTGTCAAATACTTGAGTTAAGGAAGACCACAACTATTTACATAAACCAGGACAAACATTCCTTTTTTCCATTGTCAGAGAGCAAGAATAATTCTCCTCAGAGTAGTAATATCTGAATAGGTTTCCTAAGCAAAAATGAACTCTGTCGGCACTATACCTGCTATGTAGTTCTAGCCTACTTTCTATTATCACTGCACCACTCTGAAGTTTTGTGTATGATTGCAAAAAGTCATCATATATATCAGTGATTGATCACTTTATGCCATTACCAAAAAGATTATATCATATTTCAAAATAGGCAAGTATGTGTACATGTTACACATGTACACCCAAGTACATCAAAATGTGGCTACTGCTTCAAACATCAGCAATATTTCGAACATGTGTTATGCTGATGGCTGTGTGGATTGACAATTCTTGTCTATGTACCTGTATAGCTCCAGCAATGTTCTTATTTTGTAATGATATACACCTGTAGGTTTAGAATTAAGTAGAAGCTTCCTGTTTAAATACTTTTAACATAAAAAAAAATCCATTTGAATGCAGTTACTGTTTAACAGTAGGCTAAAAATCCTATTCCATCCCATATCACAACCAAATGCTTATAATCAGTGCCAAATGTTTCAATTATCCACGATTCATTGTGTAACACCCTTAATTCCAGGTAATGAGTAAGTTGTACTGAGAAGGGGTGGCAGTGAGACAGAGTGGCCAAGGTGGATGGTGTCAAGATGTTGCAAGTGAGAGATCGGTGCCAAGCCCCCCCCCCCATTATAAAATCACAACATTCTATATAATGGTTAAATAACTTTAAATAATTTTGCTGTTCATTAGTTCTCTATGTTAACTGACAAGTCTGATTTTCATACTAATTAACGACTGTATAAACATGTTGCTCGCTTACCAGCATAAACTTACATAAGGCTTATTTGACACAACAATAGTAACATGAATTTTGCATAAAAACACAATGAAACTACTATGTGAAATAAATAGATTTTGGTTTAAAGGGATAATAACTCTTCATTTCGGTCAAAAAATGAATTTTCCTGGAGCAAACAACAATTTTCCCATACTTACCAATGGTTAATGAATCCATTTTTACATTCAAAGTTAGTCCCTGTTTTTTTTAAAAAAGTTTGGTTTTTTGTTAAAATCTCTTAAGAGATTTTAACAGAGTATAGCCATCAATGGAGGTCACGTGGTCTAAAGACAAGCTCAGATATCAGAATAATATCTATAACTGCCGTTTCTGTGATAAAACAGAATATAATATATTTCTATGAGTTATTCACAATGTTTTTATTGTGAAATATAGATCTCATACGAAGAGTTATTATCCCTTCAATCTTATTCTCTACACACCGACTGTAGTTTCCCTCTATTGATTTCTTCAGGAATAACTTTCTGGCCAATCTGTTTCATATCAGTCTGCAATAAGATGAAAGCTAGCATTATTTTCTATGAGATGCTAAACTATTACAAAATAGGTTAAAACAAGCGTTATGCAAATAAATAAATAAATAAATAAATAAATAAATAAATAAATAACATACTTATTTACATCTTTTTTATGTGACAAATAAATCAGTACATTGAATAATCAGCAAAGTTTATAATCTTATATTTGTGGATTTGAGGTTTAAATAATATATGACATAGATTACAAACATAATATTGACCAATGTTATTTTCACTTATTTTCTGAGCAATCAGAAAAAAAGGAAACAAATTATCAATTAGACAACAGTGTTGAATATTGGCATTGTTGCAACTATTGATGTTATCTTAGAGGTCATTGACATTAATCAATAAAGTAACAAATTATACAACAAAACAATTGTAAATTATAAATATACTTTTGCTTTCAGTCAACATATTATCTACAATTCCAACTGTATAATAAAGCAATAAGAAAATGAGAATGATAATATATTGTTCAACTCTGCTGCACTCTTGAGAAGATTAAGTCTTTTGGAAACATTGTAAGATATAAGCCACGGTATACACAGTCCTATACCATTAAACTACTTACATCCATTGCAATTTTGATGATATCATCAGCACCACTCCTTCCATCCTCTGTGCATTCCTCTATACCTTCTGGTGACAAATACCTACAAAGATTCAACACAGTTATTTTCAAGTAGTTGCATTTTTTAAGAAAAGGAACGAATGCATATATCCTCTACTATATATGTACACATGTCAAGACTGAAGACAAGCATGCTTTCCTTGTCTTTCATGAGTGAACTACAATTCAAATACAAGCTACATTTCAATTACTACAATTTGACAGACACTAATATTAGTGCCATGCAAGGATTTAAACATTCGCTGAATGGGCTGTAAGGAGCGCAAAAGAAAAAGATGGAAGAGATGCAACTCTGCATATGCTAAACATTTGCTTCAAAGGCAAAGTTGACTCATAGGCACCTTTGTGCCCAGCATCAAGTGACAAATGTTGGACATGGCAAGCTGCATTTAACTAAATTATATATTTACCCAAGGTGGAAACTGTTGAGAAAAGCATTTGCTTGTGTTTATCCATTTCATTGAGAGGCTAATAAACCACAAATCATCAGAATGATGAAATTATATAAATGCATGACGCAGAGACTGTTGCTTCTAAACAACCTTGATCTAGATTTGGGAACATAATCAGCTGACCCAAATGACAAGTTGACAGACTAATTCGCATTAAAATTTTAGCGAGTCAAGTGGTCTTTTTCATTTATCTTCGTCATATTTCTAACAAACAGGCTCAGAGTATTGCAGTTCGGGCATAGAGGATTGATGTGGGGTTTATAATATTAGTCAAACTTAAAGTAGGAAATGTGAAAGAAGAATAATGACATGCCAACGGTGACGGGGATCTGTGACAGTCACACCGCTACTTAAGTGTGAATTCTCCATGAAAATTACATTGTGTGTCTCAATTCTTTCCACATACAATCTCTATAGCAAACCTAAACTGCTACTAAATTTTATCAGAAAATAATGCATACGATCAATTAATTCAATGGCATTTTGATACCCACCAACCACGCTTCTTCAACTCAGCATCCGCCATGATGGAGAAATTGTTACAAAGGTTTTGATTGGCTTATGAAATTAAAACACCGAGAACTTTGCTTAAAATTTATTTTTTATGTCAGTATCATAGCAAGCAGGCATATTAATTGGGTTCATATTGCTCAGTGCTTTGCTTACAGCAATCTTTTACTTTAATTGCTCCAAAAGAAAAGAACAAACAGCATATTTCTTTCTGCATGTGACAGGAAGTTGAGGATATGTTAAAACTTTTCTGATTGGCTAGATTATTTTGGGTGTAAAATCAAACATGGCGGAATACTGGAAGTTCGAAGCGGACGTTTACACAAATTTGAACTTTTCTTGTGTTTGGGTATGATTTTATGGAAGACACATATTGTGACCCTCGAGACTGTAAAATTATTTTGTTCAGTTGAATATATTTTGAGATCAGCGAACGGGAAAAGTAAGATTGCCGACCACACCTGCGGATCATTGAAAAATAACAGTCGCCTGCAGTGGCACTGTCTTAGATATAACTACTGTTGAAATAACAACAATACCGTCTGGTTCACATTGACAAGATGGATTATAGAAAAGACAGAGAGAAGCGGAGTAGCTTTGTAAGTATATTATCAAATACGTTTGAAAACATACTTTACTTTTTACGTAAGATCTAACGTTGCTTTATTTTTGAATGAAATAAACAGAGTGCGACCGATTCTAGTTTTGGGCGATGAGTCATAAAAGTAAATTTCTGTTATTGACCCAATTTCTGTCTCTTTCTCATGCACACACATGCATACACAACACGTGCACACAAAATGTATCTTTACTCTGGTGCTTATCATCTTTGACAATTTAGCCATTGGCAATATATTGAACTTAAGTTTACCAGGGCCCCGTATCTCGAAAGCGCATTGCAGGGCCCAGTACTTTTAAAGTGAGATGGTCAGTTATTGTTCTAAGTCATAAAAATGAATGCTTAACTTAAGAAAGAAAATATTACTTTGTTTTTGAACAAATGTTTTACTGATTGGACATCAGCATTTCAGTTTGATTACTCAGAAGTACTTGACCAAATTTTCAGATATGAAAAAGTGTGTGTGTGTGGGGGGGGGGGGGGGTGTTGAACAAAATATAATTGATATTAGATTTCTGGTTATAGCATTTATTGTAGGAGGAGGTCAGATCACTTTGAATTAAAAGATATTGATAAAATTAATTTCCTGTAGTTATTTAAAGTGAATAATACTTAATTTGTAAGGAATGATTGTTAGCATAATTATTCTTAAGATGTGATGAAGTCGGTTTATAGCATAGACATCATTAAGTTTCACATGTAAATTATTTCAGGAAGCTTGGGTTCATTTATTTCATTATTTGAGTAAATGTCATTGATACAAAAATGTCTTTCACTGTGAACATGTGTGAACTGTTTTACAGTTTGATATGGGTAAAACAGCAGCAATGGTAAGTGCGAGGGCATGGTATCTCAACTTTACTACTAGTATTGTGCTTATTGGTGTTGTTGCCTCTTGTAGTATATGTATCAGTGTACTTAACATGCTTATTTTTCAGAATGTTTACCTTATATCCAGCAGCAATTTTTGTACCTCTTTGTGACCTCACCTTATTTAGTATGCAGTATAAGATGTGTTTACACTTGTCCAAAAAATCTGGTTCGATCCTGGTTCTCTGCGGATTTTGGTTCTCAGCCATTGTGTATAAAGATACAAACCAAGAAGGATATTATAAATACTTCTGTTTGCTTTTCGTGCTCTCAAAATTAGTAATGTATTAAGTCAGAAAATTTATTCTTTTAACTCACAAATGGAGCTGCTCTTGGTTCGCAACAGGATCGTACCAGTAAGCCAAATGTAAATGTATATTAGTACTAGTTTGTCCACTTTCATAAATCACTGTGGCTTGGTTCCAGTTGATATGTAAATGTATGTAATCCTCAGTAGGCATGTGTGAAGATAGGTGACATCCTTGTTTGTATTCGGCTCTGTCAAAACTGACACTGTATATTTAAGGATCCATAAAATTCATAGTTTGCAGATTCATTGCTTGTAAAAAAACGATTTTGCTGCTAAAAGCATAAGCCTTGTTCAGACTTATTTTAACAAATATTGTTTTAGTCCTAATTTTAAAACCTGACACTTGAATTGGTTGCAATTTCCTTCCTCATGCACTTCCTCCTTGATTTTGTCTGATGCTCATTTTGCTGACTGACAAACGCAGGGAATGATAGAGTGATTGCAAACTAAGGAAGGGGATCCGATAGTATGCAATGGATCTGCTTTCTGTGGTAAGAGCTTAAAAAAAAACTGATTTGAGTATAGTTGTTGTCTATAATCCTCTCCTGAATGTGCACAGATGTTTTTCAGTGCTGGATTTTCCTACAGAGATTTTAGTAAATGTTCATAATGCAGCATGTATTGTTTTAAAATCTAGATTTTCTGTGTTGCTTGAATCCAAGTTTGTGTAGACAATGAATTTCACTTGTTTACAAATCGTTGATTTTTTTCCAGCATGGTTTGTTCCAAGCACATTTTGAATTGAAATGCAAGAATACAAGAAAAATACACCTTTTACATGATATTAAATAATATGAGCTAGATATTAAAGTATGTAACTCGTTAAATTCATTCGATATTAATTATTATACAAGATAGTAGAATGCAGGGCTGGCATACCAGTTTACTGTAACCGTTCAATCTGATCTTCTGTTTTGATGAGTCAGACAGATAGCAGTGGTTCCAGTTGTCCTGCACACTCACACCCAGCATTTGTATTCATTACCTGCCACTGGTATTAATTACTCATAGGACACCTGATCAGTATGACTTGGTGTCTAATACGTCCCACTTTTGGAGACATGAGTATACACAGTATGCTGAAATTATTGTAAGAAAACTCACTGTGCTGTTTTTGAAATAAGGCAATGGAATGTGTATACTGGACACTGAAATATTGGTTGAATTTGAAATTTATTGGGATATTAAAGTAAAGCAGTGGATGGTGAAGGCGAGTTAAAAATGCCTCGGTTATTCTATCAGTCTTTCAAGCGGAAAGCTCAGGTAAGACTTTTTTTGGCAGCAAAATATTGTATAATATTACTACATGAATTATGAAATGTCATTTTTGATAGGCTATAAAAGCCAACAGTGTTAAGAACATTGTATTTATTAGAAGTTGCTAAAATATTGCTTTTCCTATATGAACAAGGGGAAACATGCAATAACTGTCACATTATACACATTGTGGCCATGATTTATATTATATCCACAGAGGTCCTTTTGTAATTGCTTTTTGTATCAGATCGGTATTTCTTCTCCCAAAACACTGACCAGAAAATTGTGTCTGTTCATTAGAACTTTCTGGTCTTCAGTCTTCCTGAAATAAGTAGCCAAGTGAAAACCAATACTTAATAGTTTTAAAACATCCTCTAGTTTAAGCTTAGTTTTGGTCTGATTTGATTCAATTTTTATTTGAAACATGTAAACAACATTCCTATACTCGTACATTTGAAGTTTGATGTGTCAGAATAGGTTATAACTATTCTTTCTGTTATTATTGATTGGAAGTTCTACAATCATTTATTATAGTCTTAAGTTATGATGAGGATTGATGCATGTGGCGTTGATCACCAAAAATATGTTCAGTGGTTTTATCATGTTACATAAATGTATAATGTCAAAAGCAATGGATTAATGAAAAGGCTGGCACATTAACATAGAAATGGAAATTCAAATATTAGTTGGGATAGTGGTCATTAATATGACAGCTTGGCACTTCTTAAACTGATGACTATCTACAAAGGAAAGGTTGCTATGAATATATATACCTATGGGAAGAGATTACTAGTAAGCATTTTTAATTTTAGCCAGGTGCTAAACATGTTTCTCAAAAATCTGATGGTAAAAAATATAAATTGCATCTAGCAATCTGTCTACATAGATGCAGAATGTAAAATATTGTCATTGTAGTGAGATGTATCAGTTTGGCTAAAATTATTCAGATATTTGGCTGAAATGGTATTCCAATAAGACTACTATAAATTATTTTAGCAAAAAGTGGAATTCAGCCGAGCACTCATTGTATTTCAATATGTTCAGTCGGCGGCATGGTAAGGAGGAATATTAAAAAATAGGAGAGGGTTATGGCAGCCAGACAACTATTTTTGGCAAAGAACTACAAGGTAGTGATGGCTTCTGCAATGTTATAGGATTCACCTTACCTGACTGTCTAACCTTTTGTAGACAGAAAAGGTTAGGAGGGAGGGGGAAGGGTCTCTCAGCCACAGCCCATATCACATATGTGTCACATTTGTCACATAGCCCTTTAAAGAAACTGAAAGAATAGATAACAACTCAGATTTTGTATGTTTTAAAGGTTAAATTTCTCAACCCACTTGATATACAGAAACACTTGGATAATAAAGATTTAGGAGTTATAAAATAAAGTCCAAAAGATGAGTTCTCTTACAGGTGACAGTTCTGTTGTAATCAAACTGTGGGAGTAAACTCTTTATCATGCTTGAATCGATGACCTCTATGTCTTAAGTAAATGCAACAGCACTGTGTAAGCCATGGAGTGCATACAATCCAACTAGGCCTAGTGTGAACGTGGCCTCATCCTGCAACATGGTGAGAACAGTCTTGATGAGCCTGGTGCAAAAATATTCTTGTTCAGAAACAATCAGACCAATGTAGCTGGGTCTTTTGCGAATGTTCCCTCATTCTAAAGAAATTTATTCATACTAATCCAACCGGACCTTGTATGAAATAAGGGTGTTTTCCCAGAGATTTAGATCGATCTAGAGATTAAAATTTAGATCGACCTAACTCCCTAGGGGTTCACACTAAATTGCAGTCAGCCGAGCGGGCACCTTAGTTAATTACCCCCTTACAGCTTTTAGTAGGCGAGACAGCCGCTTAAGCCGGCCAAGCTGACAGTAATCTAGTGAGACTCCCCACAGGGATAGATCGATCTAAAAATCTATGGAAATGGGGTGTAAGTCTCATTCTGCAATTTGACCGTTCTGAATTGGCCTTGTGTAACTGCACCTTTATCCTGCAACTTGTCGACAGTGTGTGTAGGAAGTAGATGATTCAGTTAGGCAGAGTGAAACCTCACTTTACAGTATTTATCACCAGGCAACAAGCCAACAAGATAAAGAAAACAGCCTGGATTAACAAACATTATCAGGCAGACCTGCTCCTGTTGTCCCAGATTTTTTTTTTTTTTTTTTTTTTTTTTTTTTTTTTTTGAGGGAGTAGTTGCCATAGTTTCACAGTCAGCACTGATTGATAAAGTGAAATAAATTGAAAGCTCATGACAATTTGTCCTTATTTATTGCTAATTGGAGTGTTACAGATGCAATCTATGCCAAAAACTTTAAGGTTCCTAGCCCTTCAGGCAATCAAGGTCTAAAAGTGGGCTAGTATTACATAAAATTTAAACTATTTTACTAGCTTGGTGCCTGTTTAGGTTGGCCATTGACTTTGACTAGTGTCGAAAGTGGCAGATCAGATATACATGCTATTTTGCAGTGGAAGAATTCCCCTTGAGCTGGTTGTATTATGGTGGAGTATTTTTGTATTCATGTCTTTTTTCCCCATTGGCAACTGTTTATGTGTTTTGTTTTTTGGCAACATTTGTAGTAGTGATTAGTTGGGCATCCTTCAGTCCATTAACATACGGCAAATTGATATGCACATGAGGTGGGTGTTTTGATGAACTCATACACCCTTATATAGAATCACATTTATACAGCACCAAATGTAATTTCTCGATAAAGATTTCAGTGCCTTGATAAACAGTGATTAGTGCCAGTATCTTCAAAATGTAGTAGGCACTTGCATAAGAATACTCGTGCACTTGGATAAGCTCTCAAGCATACACACATCATAAGACATTGATTCAAATACAGCAGGTAAAATATACATAAACATCACATATTCATGAAAAATTTTCAACTTTGAGTCAATTTTTTTTCTTTTACTTCCTCTCACACCCGCATGTCACACACACATACTGTTAAATACACACAAATAGATTTCTTTTAAAGACGTCTATGAACAATGTATAATCACATCAATAATAAATTATGCTTCCCACATGCTCTGAAGGAACACGTAACTGTAAGCTGAATAGTTAATTGATCTCTCAATTATTGGAGTATTTTTTTCTGTGCAGTGACTTATTTTAAGGACAACTAAGGAGACTATTGATGTTCACTGATGGATAAAAGGTCGAGTGTGATTTGAATTCAGATTTTAGAAATGCCATACTTGTACTAGTGATTGCAAAATGTTATTCACTCTCAGCAAAAGAAAATGTGATTTGGTGATATTTTCCTCAGTTTATTGGCTCAAAGCATTGATTTGGTTAACATCTATTAGTTATGCTCGTAGCACTTGAGTAAGCCCAATATACCCACGTTTTGGCTGTTTATAGGTGGTTATGATCAGTACTTAAAACCAATCAGTTGTTAACGAACACTTGTTCTAGCCTTGTTAAAGACAAGTGTCTTAAGAAGTGGGAAATATTACTCCACCCGTGTTTCGCCTCCGCAGTACACAGTACAATAACAGCACAATAGCATATCCAGGGCCCTTAGTCTTGTAATTTAATGAAGTTGAAAAATAAAACACAAACAGTAAGTATTAATTTTCTTACTGCCACCTCTGAAAGCTAAACCTATTTACGGCAATTGCCTGATCATTTCAGATGCCTCACTCAATCCGGTATTTCACTTAATCTTTTTTGTTACTTGTGAAAATCATGCAATTTCTGACTTTAAGCCAACTCACTTTTCAGAACATTTAAACCAGCATTTATATGTATTATCAAGAGACCATTATTTTAAAGAATTTTATAGCTCATTTCTTATTTAAGAAGTAATTACCCCATGGGAAAGGAAAATGTCTCTAGGGACAGAACCCTTTCCTGGGTTAACACAGTTCCTTCATCACTATCTGCAATTTCCAGTCATTTTTAGAGACAATTTAATTTGCAGAAAGAGCAGAGACATGAGCTAACTTACTAGTAGTAAGAAGAGCTGGTCTGTCAAGGACGAGGATGTTGTTTTAAGATTGTAGATAGTTCCTTATTTCACTACAATGTTCAAGATGCGGAGAAGTGTCTCCTTGGCTTTGGTGATGTATTTTCTTTAATTAGAGATGAGGAAGAATGTTTCATTGTGATCTTTTATAGCTTGATTTTTTTTTTTTTTTTTTTTTTTTTTTTGTATCTTGTCGAATGCAGTTTTATCCTCTATTTCAAGTTGTATGTTTATGTGACAGTCCGTTTTAGGCAGTTATATTAGTCTTTGGCTCTGTTTTACTTGATGTTAAACATAGATGATACGAAAAATTAGAGCACAGTCTAATGGGTGTGGCTTTATTTGAAAGTGGGGGGAAAAAAGCTGCTTTCACTCAGGAAAACCTGCTTTGATAATTGCTTGCCTTGTGGTAGTTTTGAGAATCAAGTAACATATTATGTGCAGCTTCAGAGAACTAATTGTGGTTATAGGCTTTCTTAACTGTTGAGATATTATGCAGGTCTGGACGTGAAAATTGCTAATAATATATTGAAGCCAAATATTAGCTGTCGTAAGACCACACATATTTGTGTGTTAAGCTTACTGTTATTCGTTTAAATGCTGCCTCTGTTTGAAGCATTATATAATCTATTTGATATATATGTATATGTAGCAGCTTTACTGTTTTACACATATAATATATACATTTAAAAAAACAAACGGTTTATTATTTTTGTAAAAGTGGGTGATAAGATATCTTTAACAAGGTTTCCATTAGGGCTTTAACTGGGGCAGGGGTGATTTTTTCTGCAACAAGTTACAGTGTGTTGGAAAATAGGGTTCAGTTTTTCCCAGCAGGGATGCCCAAATTATGCCCAAGTGGAAACCATGGGTAAAGATGAAAAAGCTAGATTGATTTTGACATTGTTATCCTAAATTTCAGGTGATCTGTGTTTTTATACAATTTTTAGTGTAAGATAGAAAATTGCATGCTTTAAGTAAAACATATTTTAAGTTGTGGCCATTGGCATGGTCTGCAGAATTTAGACGAAAATGCAGTAAATCTTATTAATGAGTACCTCATCCTTTGTTTTACAGATAGATATTGATGAAACGTGTAGATAGTTAAAACTTTTTTAAAATAATCACTTGTCATACATACATAATTCTATATTTATTTCTATTTAAGCTGGAGAAGTTCAATCCTTATCGCAATAAGGAGAAGAAAGAGAAATCCAAGGGTGCCACATACAAGCCTCCAAATGTTGGAGAACTAGGCGCTGACAATGGCGACTTGCTGTACATGCAGCAAATGATCAACAGTCTCACCGACGATGAGGTCAATGAAAAGTTCGAGCAGATGCTGGTAAGGATCAGTTCTCTGATAAAGCCTTTTGTCGGATTCAGAAAAGTGGATTAACTAGTCTGAGGGTCCACTAGAAAACTTCCCCAGGGGGAATCTGTTCAGTGTCTATTAGCGGATTAGACAGCAAGCTTTTTAGTGGGTTGCCATTTTGATACATAGACTAGTTAGACCACTGTTCTGAATGCGGCCTTTCATAGTCTGTATGTTTAACTTTTACAGCCCATTTGCCTCCTGAACTAGTAGGCCTCAGAAAAATATAAGCCTGAGTTCAAGTAAACTGTTCCAAAGATGAAGTCTGAAGATAATTGGAAAATGATTTAAAACAATTGTGTATGCAAGTGTGTGCAAGCAAGTGTGAGTAGAGAGAGAGAGAGAGAGAGAGAGAGTAGGCAACTTCTGCACTTTCCGTAATTTACTGTTTCCCAAAATGTCCTGATGAAGGGAGGAGAATATTTTTACTTCCAACTCATCTGTGAACTATTTCAGATGTCCAACCCATACTCCCACCCAATTCTGCAGTTGTCATGGCCTCCATGGGATGTGCAAAGTGTTATTTGATTAATTGAAGGGACTTGTATCCTCAAAAAATTTTCTTTTACACCTGCGACACATTTTATCCAATCTGCCCCAATGTCTTATATCAAGCCATTTATATCCCTCTTTTGTCTATCTCAACACCATTGTGGAGAAACTTTGAACTATAATCACATATAGTCTGCTTTTAAAGACATGCTACTAAGTAAGCTGCCTCAGTCAGACTATTAATTGGCTGTTTATTTAATAGAAAACATCTACCCCAGCTAGTGTACACAGCAGTTAATACAGGTGACAGTGTGGCATCAGTAAATAACAACCCCTATCCACCTGTCACCTCCATTAGCGTCAACATTTTCACAGGTATGCACTTGTGAGACAAAAATCTAGGATTCATTCACACAAGACCTACTTCAGAGGCTTCGTAAGAGGTTGTTTGATATAATGTTGGGAATCAGTTTCTGTCTCTTATTGTGATTTGACCACAGCGTGTCATTGTGTAATCAACTTTTTTTATCCGTGATAATATATTGCAATCAACACTGTCATCAGTGTGTGAACACATTACCTCAGCTAACAACTAGATGATTCCAGCCACTATCTAACTTGTATCTTATGTGAATGGCTCATAATGGACAATGTCCACTCTGACATTTGGAACTCGTGTCGAAATCTAACCGGCTGGTGACCCTTACGTCAGGCTGAAGTCCTTGCGTTATCAATCACCTGTTGCTAATAGGCATTTAACTAGAAGAAGGTATCCAACAAGTACACGGTCATTTTGAATGAACATAGTTTTTCAAGTATTTGATTTATGTGTTTTACATAGGTGTGTAGATCTCCCTGAATATCCCGCCGCGTAATTACTGGCAGCGCGAGCCAGTTACTTATAGTAACTTATAGTAACTGGCTCGCGCTACCAGTAATTACGCTGCGGGATATTCAGGGCACAGACCGTGATCATAAGACATACCGCGAATAGAAAATAGAATTTAGAAAATAGACATTGCATGTGAATGAAGCCTAACCCTCTGCCCACAATAATGTTTTGGCATTCAAACACCCACATGCAATCACATGCACACACATACACATTGGTACACACATACTCTCTCTCTCTCTCTCTCACACATACACACGCACACACACACACACACACACACACACACACACACACACACACACACACGCTAAGTACCTCTGAATTCCTTTTTTTCTTTTTAGCAGTGATTTGCCAAGTGCCTTCTGTAGCACTTATAGTCTAGATGACTGGTGCAAAAATTGCTCAAAAGGTGGAAAAAGCATGAAACTTGGCACAAATGTTCTTTGGACTATGCTGATCATTTTCAAGGGCAGTGCCCAAAATTTCAAAGCGTTGCTTAGCAACCGTTGCTAAGGAAGTGATTTACCTTAGTAACAAGCTAATTGGACCTTTCTTGTTCAGTTTAAATGATTTAAAAAGGCTTTTAATAATGTTTCAAACCATCAGAACTATCACTATACTATTTTAAGACATTAAAAACCCAAGTAAACCATTGCAACAGTTGCTAGGCAGCATATTACCCTAGCAACAAGTATTTAACATGCTGAATTAGCCCAGAAAGTTAGTGTTAAGGTTGATTTTTTGTTGAGTTCCTCTAGACAGAGGGGAGTTCAAATGTCATTAATAATATCATTGATGTAAAAAAAAACAAAAACATTTTTACACCATCTTTTATGGAAAATAGTTTTTTAATTTTTTTCAATTTTTGAGTTTTGACATAATGGTTGTGATAAGATTTCATCTGGGGTTAAATTGAAATTTTCCTGAATTTCACTCAAAGAACCAATAATGTTTGCCAAAAGGGATAAGAAGTTGCTTTTAGTAT